TCAATTGTATTCCTTTTTAGAATATACAGGTTTGTTGATTAGCTAGCACTCTACCACAATCACAATGCAAAATATTGCTGCTCTACACAGATCTATCCCCATTTAGTTACATGAATCAATAGAATCTCATTTTTGTTGAAGGCAGCTTTCTTTGGATTTCCTGTTACATACACCTAAAAAATCTTAACAGACAGTATTGAGATATTTCCTTTCATGACATCAAAGTGAGTGCAGAAGCTCTAGGTGTTAGATGGAGACATGACATCCAAAGAAGAAGTGGGACAGTTCCACTCTTTTTAGTAGGAGGGGAAATGTTTTCTATAATTCCCCAATTCAGAGGGCAAAGGTTTTAATTATAGGCCACATGGAATGGGAAGAAAATGATTAGCCAAAACAATCTTTCTTCATTGCTGAATTTGGCAAGAAAGTCACCTTACCTTAGAAAACAATTACAGTGGATGAACATCCGAATAAAATTGGGGCTGTCAATATAAAATGTGAGAGGGGAGAGGTATTGGGTAGACAATCAACAAGGTGTACCCCACTAACAGATACATTCATTTTCTGTAAAGTTGGATATGTGTCTGTGTGTGTAGAAAATATCAGGAATGGTACATATCTATTAACAGCATTTAAAATTTTGTAATGGGACTATCTGGGATGCAATGAATGGATAGTTTCACATTTTATTTATAATACTTTTGTTAGTTTATATTAGCTTGGTAATTTAGATTTAAAAGGACTGCTTCAATATGAAAATGGGCCATTGAGAAATAGGGCTATAATTAAAAAATAGTCAGAGAAGCTTATGTTGGTATATCCCATTGCCCCGAGTATAGTCACTCAGGTGCCAGTGGCATATTTATCCCTACTGGGGATCTGGAGACACGAGGGTATAAAAGCCTGATTCCATCAAATATTTAAACCATCCAGCTACCTCCCCTCATGCTCTCAAAGCTGCCTCACATCATAAATTGGCTCCCTGTGCACATTTTCCTACAGGGAAAGAATGTGCTGGACATGGCAATGTGGACATTCTGGCCCCCTTGGCAGCTCCATTTCTCATCATAAACTAGTACATTGGTTCTTTGGCTCAGATAGCAGGATGGGGGTTGAGGTAGTATGATCTACTTCCCAACACCTCAATATATAGGTTCTGTCTTAGTGCTATTAAAGTCAAGTTTATAAGCCTGGACCATGATGAATTCACCGAGGTAAATGTCACCTCTGATGCCACTTGGCAGCTGGCCAGCCAGCCTGCCCTGATGACACTCCTGTCTCTTCAAGTACATTTCTTTCAGACTCCTGTGCTTTCTAGCCACATTCATATTAACCAGTTGTCTCATTTTTCTATCCCTCACTCTGTCTTTTCTTCTATGACCCTCTCTCTCTAATTATATATATATATATATTTTTTTTTACCTTACAGTTAACCTTCCTTCATCGTGTCTTTTCTTTTTTTCTTCTTCTGTTTTCACCTTAATCATTATTATTATTATTATTATTTGAGACAGAGTCTCACTTTGTTGCCCAGGCTAGAGTGAGTGCCGTGGCGTCAGCCTAGCTCACAGCAACCTCAAACTCCTGGGCTCATGCAATCCTACTGCCTCAGCCTACCGAGTAATTGGGACTACAGGCATGCGTCACCATGCCCAGCTAATTTTTTCTGTATGTATTAGTTGGCCAATTAATTTCTTTCTATTTATAGTAGAGATGGGGTCTCACTCTTGCTCAGGCTGTTTTCGAACTCCTGACCTTGAGCAATCCACCCACCTCGGCCTCCTAGAGTGCTAGGATTACAGGCGTGAGCCACCGCGCCTAGCCTGTTTTCACCTTAATTAACCATAGAGTTGAATAATAATGTACACCAGAACTATGTTCCAAGCAGTGTGTGCTGAGCCATATAAAAAAATTATATTCTGACCTAACAATAACTCTATAAAATGTTTTCATTCCTATTTTACAGAGGAGGAAGTGGAAACTCATACAGGCTAAGTAATTGTGTTATTGTGTTTCATAATTTTAAAGATTTTCTCTGCTTAATTTACAAAGTTAGTATAATACTTTATACTAACTAATAAAATACTTCATTTGTTTCATCTTTTTTTCCTGCAGGAGCTAGATTTAAGAGAAAAAGAAAAAAAGTTTTTGACCTCCACCTTGTTTTCGTCCACAAATCTATTGTCCTAGAAAAGAGTCCACCTTGGGCATATTTCTTTGTTTCTTAGACTGGAGAAGGGGAGGTGGAATTGATGAGGACTGAGACAAATTAAAGATGTCCCTTTGAATGAGAAAGCTCCCCCACTGTTCTTTGCCCCTCCCTCTCCTTTTTGCTGAGAGCTGGGCTTGACCCTGATTTCTCTGGCACAATTTTAGTCTCCACCAAGGAGGAGATAACCTTCTCTGTCCAGTCAGGCTGAATGCATTTTCTGCATTGGTGCAAAAGGTGGAGATCAAATTTTCAGCACCTAGATTTGTAACCTTCAGTAACTTGGAGATGGAGATTGTGGTAAAGTGGAATCTTCCCTCCCTCCAGATGGCTTTTCATTTTGGGGGGGCATTGAATTAAGCTGCTCAGCTCCAACAGGTGTTCTCCCCATGATCCTAGAAGATAGTGAGGTAGAAGTAGACTGAAGTATCCCTTCCATCCTGCTTCAGTAGGGGTTTGAGAGGAGCAAAAGAGAAAGCAAGATGTTTCCAGGGGGATTCCAGGCCCCTCCACTCTTACTCCAGGGAGTGGAGGCTGCTTGGCTCCTAGAGACTCTACTCCCAAGATCTCGGTTTGGGGCTGGAGCAGCAGGCAGCGACCAGTATGCCCGGGATCAGAGCACGGCCTCAGAGAAGTCCCAGGTCCAAATGGAGAAGGAGGGTCTCAGAGGTCCTCAAACTTTTTAAACAGGGGGCCAGTTCACTGTCCCTCAGATCGTTGGAGGGCCAGACTATAGTTTTAAAAAAAACCTATGAACAAATTCCTATGCACACTGCACATGTCATATTTTGAAGTAAAAAAACAAACAGGCAAAAACACCTGCATTGGCCAGGCAGATGGCTCACCCCTATAATCCTAACACTCTGGGAGGCCGAGGCGGGTAGATTGCTCGAGGTCAGGAGTTCGAAACCAGCCTGAGCAAGAGCAAGACCCCGTCTCTACTATAAATAGAAAGAAATTAATTGGCCAACTAATATATATAGAAAAATAGCCAGGCATGGTGGTACATGCCTGTAATCCCAGCTACTCAGAAGGCTGAGGCAGTAGGATTGCTTGAGCCCAGGAGGTTGCTGTGAGCTAGGCTGAAGCAAGGACACTCACTCTAGCCTGGGCAACAAAGCGAGACTCTGTCTCAAAAACAAAACAATAAAACACCCGCATGTGGCCGGGGGCCATAGTTTGAGGACGCCTGGTCCAGACCCTGGTGGATTCAGCAACACGGACAGAAAGCAGCCCAAAGTTGGCCCGGGGGCTGGGTGTTCAGCACCACGGCCAGAGCCCTCCTTCCCTGCTCCCCATCCGAGCTGCACCCAGCCCCCTGTCATATTCCAGGAAGGAACCTAGTCCCGGCCCTTGGTTAACTAGCCTCCAGCACTTAAGTATCGTGAGAAATGAAGGGTTGGTTTCCTACTAAGGCCCTTCAGAATTTCTTCACTGAGCTGTCTATTCTGCAGCTTCCTGGTAGAGCAGGGTTTGCCTTGGAGCGACTTATTAAGAGCCAGCTGATTTGCATATATCTGCATTCACTGGGGCTTCTCCATTCTGGTTTTATTATAAATGAATTGTTCAGAGGAAGAAATAGAAGGATTATTCCACTCCTTTTCTTTTTCTTCTTTCCCCCATTCCTAGGTTCTCAGTCTGGTAATTTCCACCAGATGCCTGCAGTGAGTGTGTGTGTGGGGGAGGGTGGGAACTGGACTCCTGGCAGCCAGGGGTTTGTTGGGGCATCCTAGCTTTCCCCAGATAATTTCTTCCATCTGTTTGGCTTCTGAAAGATCCTAGTGAGGTTCAGAGGGTCTGCATTTTGTTTTAGCACCTACCATGAGAACCTTTGGGCTGAAGTCCCTGGAGCTCAAGTAAGAAGTCACACTGGTGCCCTAGAGACTGTTAAGGGGGTGGGACCTGGTCTTGCAGAGTGGAGCGAGGGTGGTGGAGTGAGGACTGGTTTTGAAATGAAAGGAGTCCTGGGTCTCTAAGCAGCTTCTAAAAATACCATCTCCCAGCACTGGGGGGATGGGGAGGAGAAAAATCAAGCGTGAGGAGAATAAAGATGGGAATGAGGTGGGAGTGTAAGGACACTTCTTCAGGTAGATCTGATTTTAGAGGCCCAGCCTGCATCCAAGGACTGCATAGACACCACCCCTTCTTCTGCCTCTTTAACAGGCATCAGTTTCCTGAGGTGGCCGAGCCCCAACCCCTCCTGGTGATCTTTCTTTCTGTAGGTAAAGGAGATCAATTCCTCCCACCTACTCCTATTGCTACTGCCCAGCAAGTGTGTCTATGAGAGAGCAAATGTGCATGTACACATACTACACACACACACACACACACACACACACACACAGAAATGCCACATGGAAAGCACCTTGCACATGGCCACTGGTCTATGATGCCAGGAACTTTCACTACACTCAGTGTTCAAAGAGGCATAGGCTGTGGCAAAGACGAGGTGATTCGCCCAGGTAGCCTCGGCACGGAGCATGGCGCCCAGTAAGTGCTGGTTGGAGGGCTGAGGAATACACACATGCAAAACGCACGGCCACTCAGGCCACATAGGCCACGCAGACACAGGACTCACTCTCATTCTCAAGGCTTCTCTGGCTATAGCAGCCTCCAAAGGGAGCAGGGGTAGGTTCCCCAAGAAAAGAGCTCTGAAAAAGCCACGAAGTGGGTGGAGCTTTCTCCCCTCAAGTTCAGCCCAGATGGTGGCGCTCAATAGCCACCTCCTTCGTTCTGGAGGGCCCCAGCCCTTCCCACCGCCACAGCGTTAAACCCTCAGCTTGCACATAAATGACCTTCACTAGGTAGAGGTCGTGTTCCACGTTTTCTTGCGGCTTCTTCAGCGCCAGCCGGACTCTGCTAGGACTGCGCCGCCTCTCTCGCCGATGCCTCGGATTCCCGGCCTCTGCGCTCCTCGCCAGTCCTCTGGGGTGGGCGGAGTGGGGTGATCGAAGAGGGGAACCCCTGACTCTGAGCAGACTGAGGATAGGGGTGGCCGTGGGGTTGTGTGGTGGGGGGTGTGTTCCACAGGAGCAAGAACCTGAGGAACCGATCGTTCCTGCAAAATCTACCACTGCCCCCGTCCTGGCGCCCACATGGCTTCCCGACCTCGGAAGCATGCTGGTAGGGCGGGACCCTGTCTCCCACTTTGCTCCCCTTTCTCTAGCAGCTGCTGGGGTCAGGCTCGGCCCCTCCTTCCTGCCGGTGGTGTGTGTCCGTGTGTGTCTTATGAGGGCGGGAAGAGAAGGGGAGAGATCGAGCCAGCAGACACCAGGAGCCGTGAACACAGGAAGAGACCAAGGGCTGGGAGATAGGAGAGCTCCCCAGAGCTTGGGGTCAGGACATTAGGTTTCAAACCCCCTGTAAGTCCTGGGAACAAGGGAGCTTCCAGACTAGCTCAGAGTGTCACTGCCTCCCAGAGATCCCCCCTCCTTAAGCCAAACCTACACTGCCTACTTCTCAGGAATGAGGGGCTAAGGTTTAGGGCTCTGAGTCACCGACGCCAGCTCATCCTCCTCCCCAGAAGCCCCGCGAGCTCTCAGCGCTGCCCCACCCCCCAAGGTTTGGAGATCGGTGAGACCCCTTCCTTTTCCCCTCCAGTTGGGTGTTCCGCCCCTGGCCTATGAAACTCCACCTCCCCGCGCTCTACAAGCGGGGATTGGTGGACCTCCCGTGGCGGTGCCTAGTGATTGGCCCCCATGGATGATGGTGACCAGCGAGACCCCGCCCCCAGCTGGCGCTGAGGTCTGGGGGCACTGCTCAGCTGTGCTGGGCTGGCGCGGCTTGAGCCGCCGCCGCACTGACAGCTCCGTCTGCGGACCATGGAGACCGGCGCCGGTCCACACCCGCTGCGCCTGTGCGTCTGCCTGATGCCGCTCTGTCTCGCACTGCTTTTGGGACCTGGGCGGCCCGGGACCGCCGAAGAAGGTAAGAAGATTGATGGCTGTGCTCGGAGCCTGGGATGCCAAAAAATAGGTGGCCTGGGGACTCGGGTGCTGGGGTGCTGGGGGAAGGAGTCACTGGAGAGACTAGAGTCTGTACTGGGGTTTGAAGGAGTCAGGCAGAGACCGCAAAGAACTGGAGAGACAGAGAAAAAGGTGGCTAAGCAATAGGGAAGAGAGGGGCGTTGAGGAGCTTGGGGGCTGGAGACCTAGGAGTCTGGGGAAGAAAGAGATTAGGAACCGCTAGAGCCAGAGGCGGCGGTCCAGTGGCCGGTGAGACGGACAAGCTGAGTGATAGGAGGTGGGAGGTGTGGGGGCGGGGAGAGGAAGAGTGGAGGAGACAGAAAGATGAGGTGAGATCGGAGTAGGGGGGCACGGGTTAAAGCCCGAAAAGCGGGGGCTGGGACCACTGTGTGGACAACAGGAGGTGGAATGCTGGTCGAGGGGGCTGGGTCTGGGCGCTGCCCGAAGTGCTGACCACGGAACTGTCCGCAGTGCTGAATTATGAGCGTATCTACTAGGCGCGCTCCGCGTTCTCGGGGTGAGGCTGTCCGCGATGCTAGAGCCTGAATCTTGCCTCTGATTCTGCATCTGGGGGAGCTAGCTGTATGCTCAGCTGAATCCAGAGGCATCATATCCAGGTGCAGAATCCTGACGAGCTGGAATCTGAGGCATTGACCGCGGGGTTGGTTGAGGCGCTGGATCACAGATGCTTTCCAATATGCAATTCCGATGTGGTGTCAGTTGTGCAGAAATCTGCATGCCGTAGGCGGTCCTGCCCACTGTCGCTGACGCCTCTGGAGCCAGCCCCTCACAGAGGCCCTCACCTTGACGGCCCACCCCCTTGCTTAAGCTCCAGATGACTAATCTTCCAAGATTTCAGAATGGCCGGACCTCCTGTCTCTGGGCTGCAGGCTCCTGTCCAAACCGGTGTCTGTGATTCATACTAAGAGTCTGCAGATTGCTGATCCGATGTCTCTGGGGGGAATAAAGTGACTCCAAGCTTCTCTGGTGTAGGAAGGGTCGTGGATATCTATATAAAAGGACCCTTGACATTCTTTCAAAGTCAGTGGAGGGGACAGCCCTCCCCTGACTGGTAAGGGGCTGGTTGAGGCATGAGAGATTTTATTTTTCCTGTTGCTGGTTGTATTTCTCCACTTTGCTTTCCCAGAGGCCCTGGAAATCAAACTAAAAGGTCCAAGTCTCCTCCATACCTGGTGACCCCATACCTCAGAAGAGCCCCCGAGTCTGAGTCGATTCTGGAGTTTTTACAGGAATAGCCTGATACACTCACTTTCTCCTTCTAATTGACACTTAGCTATCATTTTGGGAACTTGGGGAGGTTGGGAAGGGTCACCGACTCCCTCCTCCCCAATTTGAGAGTCAGCCTTAGAGTATTTGCCATGAACTCTGTAGAAGGCTGAATAATGAACCCCCCAAATATGTCCATGTCCTAATCCCCAGACCCTGTGAATGTTACCTGAAGTGACAAAAAAGGACTTTGACGATGTGATCTTGAGATGGAGAGATTATCCTGGATAATTTAGATGGGCCCAGTGTAATCGCAGTGGTCCTTATATGAATAGTGCAGGGGAGTCAGAGTCAGAGGGGAAGGCGATGTGAGGACAGAGATTAAGTGATGCACTTTGCAGATGGAGGAGGGGCCATAAGCTAGGGAATACGGGTGGCCACTAGAAGCTGAAGAAGGCAAGGAAGTGGATTCTCCCACCCAGGGCCTCCAGAAGAAACCAGTCCTGCTCACACCTAGACTTTAGACCAATGAAACTCATTTTGGGCTTCTGACCTCCAGAACTATAAGAGAGAAAGTTTCTGTTGTTTTAAGCCACTAAATTTGTGGCAATTTGCAACCCCAGCCCCAGGAAACAAATACAAGCTCCTTCCCCAATTGTTGTGGCTCCCCCTCTCTGGACTGGAGCTACCTACACCCGCTCCTGAGGATTTGTGGTGTGGGGAAAACGCCTCTGTATCATTTGCCACATCCTCCATTCTGTCAGTTAGCATATTCACAGTGAATTCGCCAAAGGATCCATCCTCCTGCTAAACTGGCCTTGACATCTCTGATCTCCCCTCCCCTAGTCATCCTCCTGGACTCCAAGGCCTCTCAGGCTGAGCTGGGCTGGACTGCACTACCAAGTAATGGGGTAAGTGTCAATCTGTCCCCCTCTGTCCCAGGAGCCTCTGGTAGGACTCAGTCCAGGACTCAGTCCCTTTAGCTCCCCATGGTTCCATCAGCTCGAAGTACTTCTCAGAGTGTGTGGTCTCCAGCAGCCCTGGCTTCAAGCCAGAGTGGTCTATTAGAAAATGTTGAGTCTTTGATCACTTAGACAGAAAAAAAGTTAATAAGCGAGGAGGGAACTGGCTGTGTCTAGGATCAGTAAGAGGCTGAGGAACTTGGGGTGGGGCGGGGTGATCTAGGGTGTAACAGCGGCTCGGTGGAGTGCAAAGGGCATGAAGAGGAGAGTCAGGAGACTCCAGGCGCCATTCCTAGCTCTGCCACTACCTCGATGTGCACACCTAGTCGAATCGCTCTCCCTCTGGAGACTCCATTTCCCCAACTATAAAAAGAGGGATTGGACTCATTCGTTCTCAGAGTTTTTCCTGGCACTGCACCTTACAATTTCAGGCATCTGTGTGGTAGTGGTAGAGAAGGCAGGAGAAGGCAAAATGGTGGAGAAAGAGGTTTTCAGCAGGAGTCACTGCTAGGGCTCGACTCCCTGCAAGCACCTTGACTCTGAGCTGTCCACCTCTTTATTCTTTTTTTTATATTCTTGAGACAGAGTCTCGCTTTGTTGTCCAGGCTAGAGTGAGTGCCGTGGCGTCAGCCTAGCTCACAGCAACCTCAAACTCCTGGGCTCAAGTGATCCTCCTGCCTCAGCCTCCTGAGTAGCTGGGACTACAGGCATGTGCCACCATGCCCAGCTAATTTTTTCTATATATATTAGTTGGCCAATTAATTTCTTTCTATTTATGGTGGAGACGGGGTCTCGCTCTTGCTCAGGCTGGTTTCAAACTCCTGACCTCGAGCAAGCCACCCACCTCTGCCTCCCAGAAAGCTAGGATTACAGGAGTGAGCCACTGCGCCCCGCCCACCTCTTCACTCCTGTCCCCAGTGGGAGGAGATCAGCGGCGTGGATGAACACGACCGTCCTATCCGCACGTACCAAGTGTGCAACGTGCTGGAGCCCAACCAGGACAACTGGCTGCAGACTGGCTGGATCCGCCGCGGCGGCGGGCAGCGCATCTTGGTGGAACTGCAGTTCACACTGCGTGACTGCAGCAGCATCCCTGGCGCCGCGGGCACCTGCAAGGAGACCTTCAACGTCTACTACCTGGAAACTGAGGCCGACCTGGGCCGCGGGCGTCCCCGCCTAGGCGGCAGCCGGCCTCACAAAATTGACACGATCGCGGCGGACGAGAGCTTCACGCAAGGCGACCTGGGCGAGCGCAAGATGAAGCTGAACACAGAGGTGCGGGAGATCGGCCCGCTCAGCCGGCGGGGTTTTCACCTGGCCTTTCAGGACGTGGGCGCTTGCGTGGCCCTGGTCTCTGTGCGCGTCTACTACAAGCAGTGCCGCGCCACAGTGCGGGGCCTGGCTGCGTTCCCAGCCACCGCAGCCCAGAGCGCTTTCTCCACACTAGTGGAAGTGGCCGGAACGTGCGTGGCGCACTCGGAAGGGGAGCCCGGCAGCCCCCCGCGCATGCACTGCGGCGCCGACGGCGAGTGGCTGGTTCCCGTGGGCCGCTGCAGCTGCAGTGCGGGGTTCCAGGAGCGTGGCGACATCTGCGAAGGTACCCAGTGGCCTGGGGGGTGGGAGTAGCATGCAGGTGGCAATTGGGAGAGAGTTTGCCCAAGAGGCGGGAGCGGGTGGAGAAGCTGTGCGCTCTGGAGCTGAGAGTCCCGACCTTCTTTGGTGCATCCAATATGTAAAGTTACCACGGTGTGAATTTGACTAGATATAAGGATATCTCGGGCACTATGATAGGCACGTCACACAGGCCTTCTCATTTATTTTTAGGGAAATAAAGTAAGTTATCATTATCCCTATTTCACAGATGAAGAAACTAAGCCTCAGAGATTAATACTTCAGTTGCAAAGTTAGGTAATGGGGAGCCAGGATTTGAATCCGGTTTGCCCAACTCTCAATCAAGTTCTTTCTACCACACCATGCTGCCTCCCCTATGTATAAGGACTCTCTAGCAGCCCAAGCTTCCATCTAGTGGGACTGGTTGCATTATAGGGAATATGCTCCCAGTCATTGACCATAAGCAAGTCAGAGGCTGGCAAGGGGATTCTTGAGCTGGAGAGAAAAACTGGGAGGTTGCACTAGATGACTACTAAGATTCCATTCAACTTTCTGAACTAGAAGCACTGTGCCCCCTGGGGAAGATCCTCCATGGTGGGGGTTTTGCTGGGTTCTGAGGTCTCTGGGGACATTAGGAACAGACCTCTCCTTCTCTCCCCTGTCTATGGCTTTGGAGGCTGAAGGTAAGGATAGGGTTATGAATGTGTGCGCTTAACATATATCAAGTGATGTTTTTTCTAAACCAGGTCCTTTTCTGGGTACCAGGGCAACAGAAATGAGTCAGACATAGTCCCAGCTCTTGAGAAGCTCACAGTCTAGATGGAGAGATGCAAAAATGTAAAAATCACAAGAAGGTGATATATGCTATAACAGAGGGATACACAGAGTGGTGGGAAGACAGAGGAGGAAATGACTAAACTTGCTCTCATTCCTTTGTTCAATCATCCATTCAATATGAATTGAGGACATGCCAGCTGCATTTAAAGAGGGCTTATTATATGTACAGAGATGAATGCTACCATCTCTTCCCTGGGGAAATTGTGAGTTAGTAAAAGACTGGAAGGCAGGAACCTTCCTGAGCTCTCCAGATATAGTTAGGATCCACCTCTGTGCTCTGTAGCACTCACTGCAAACTCTATTTCTGTACTTACCCCATGGTATGCAGTGATCTACTTATGTGTGTTTCCACCACTAGACTAGGAACTTCTCTTTTTTTAGAGATGGGTCTTGCTGTGTTGCCCAGACTAGAGTGCAGTGGCTATTTACAGGCACAATCATAGCACCCTATAGCCTCAAACTCCTGGGCTCAATCAATCCTCTTGCTGGGACTACAGGTGTGCACCACTGTGCCCTTGGTTAGGAACTTCCTGAGATCAGGCACTGGGTCTCACTAGTCCCAGCATCCCTAGTGTCCATAAAAGGATGTGGGATATACTAGGTGCTCAGTGGAAATGCATTGGGTGAATGAGAGGTTACAATAGAATGTGATACAAATCAACAGAGAGCTAAGGAAGCCTGCAAGGGAGAACCCCATTCTAAGGATGGAGGGGGCTGCCCAGAGAAGGTGAGAAGACCTTTATTTCCAGGCACCCTAGAGCATTCTGAGATTCACAGTTGTGTGCAGAAGCACGGAGGCAAGAAGGAACATAGTATGATTGGGGCTAGGTAAGATGGTCAGCATGCTTAGAGCAGAGGGCATGTGGAGAGTATAGGGAGTGATGGGGCCAGAGAGGAGCAGAGCAAACCATGCAGGGCCTTGAACGTTGGGATAAAGAGCTTAGACTTTATGTGTTAGAGCAATGCGGAGGATTTGAAACAGAGATCTGACATGCTCAGATTTGCATGAGGCTCAGATTTGTGTGACATGCTCAGATTTGTGCGACATGGTCAGACTGGGTGAGGTGGCTCATGCCTGTAATCCTAGCACTCTGGGGGACCGAGGTGGGCGGATTGCTCAAGGTCAGGAGTTCAAAATCAGCCTGAGCAAGAGTGAGACCCCGTCTCTACTATAAATAAAAAGAAATTAATTGGCCAACTAATATATATGCAAAAAATTAGCTGGGCATGGTAGCGCATGCCTGTAGTCCCAGCTACTCAGGAGGCTGAGGGAGCAGGATTGCTTAAGCCCAGGAGTGTGAGGTTGCTGTGAGTTAGGTTGACACCACGGCACTCACTCTAGCCTGGGCAACAAAGCGAGACTCTGTCTCAAAAAAAAAAAAAAAAAAGATTACTTGGCCTGCAATTGCAAAGAAAGGATTGCAGAGGGAAGGATTAGAGTCTAGAAGATGAGGAAGGAAGATGGGGCAAAAGTCCATGAAAAGAGCACAAGGTCTGAACTAAGGCAGTGGCAGTGATTGTTGAGAGATGAGAATGGATGTGATCACGAAATAGCATCCACTTGATGACCATATGACCCAGGAGGAAAAAGTAGTCCCCTTTGACTCATGCTACTGGGGACTGAATGGACAGAGAGATTATTCACTGGGGTACAGACCACAGGTACAGATCACATCAAATTTATGGTATCTATGGTGCATTCCAGTGTAGGTAGCTAGAAAGTGGGTCTGGAGCTCAGCAACACAGAGATGCTACTTGAAGTTGTGGGTGCGGTTGGGAAAGGCCAGGTAGAATGTGTGGGGTAAGGAGCAAGAGGGCCAACAATGATGATTCACAGGACAGTGATATTTAAGGAGAAGTAGAAAAACAGAGCCCATAATAAGATTGAGAGAGTCAGAGGATGGAGGAGAACAATGCGAGCGGGTGATATCATGACAGCCAAGAGAGATGGAGGTGTCCAGGAGGGAATGGCCTACAGCATTGGTAAGCAGTCAGGCAAATCAAGGATTGGGGAATGTCCACTTGGTGGCCTTGGTGAAAGCAGTTTCAACTGAGTGATGGAGAGAGAGACCAGGTTGCTGTAGGTTGAGGGATAAAGGAAGCTGAGAAGCTCAAGTCAGGGAATCTAGAAGCCAGTGTTTGAAGGAGAACAGGAGGTATCTTGAGGAGGACCTTGGTGGGCAGGATTTTTGTTATAGATGGGGGAGGCTTATTTGTATGGCAAAAAGCCAGTGGGGTAGCTAGTGGAGGATGGTGGGAGCTGTCTGCCCCGGCGGGGAGAACTATTGTATTACTGATGTGGGTTAGAATTGCTGACGTGTGTGTTGCTAATAAAAGCAGAGCCCAGCTACTTGGGAGGCTGAGGCAGGAGGATTGCTTAGGTTTGAGCTCAGGAGTTCAAGGCTGCAGTGAGCTATGAGAGATCAAACCACTACACTCCCACTCTAGCCTGTGTGAGAGAGCAGTACCCCTGTTTCAAAAAGAAAAGAAAAGAACAGGCAGGTGTTAGTCAGTTTTATTATTGTTTTAAAATATTCTATAGTGCCCCTATTGCCTTCACCCAAAATGGGCCAGGTTTACTGTCCTGTCCCCTTGTTAACAGCCAGTAAAGCCCGTCGCCAGCTGATGGAACGTAGACCTCGAGGAGGTGACGAGGAGGGATCCAGAGTGGAGATGCAGGGACCCGGCTTCAGCAGGAGGTGCCTCACCCTTCCTCTAGGACTGGAAGGAAGGAGAGTGGACATGAGTGTGGATGGAGGTGTTTGTGGTTTTTTGTTTTTGTTTTTTCTTTCTTTCTTTTTTTTTGAGACAGTGCCTCACTCTGTCACCTGTGCTAGAGTATGGTGGCATCACGATTGCTTACCGCAACCTCAAACTCCTGGACTCAAGCGATCCTCCTGCCTCAGCTCCCAGCTAGCTGTGACTACAGGTGCACACCACGTCCGGCTAATTTTTTCTATGTTTAGTAGATATGGAGGTCTCACTCTTGTTCCTGACCTCAAGCGATCCTTCCTCCTCGGCCTCCCAGAGTGCTAGGATTAGACGCGTGAGCCACTGCACCTGGCCTGTTTATGGGTTTTGAGGGAATTACCAAATGCTGGCTCTTTTCCTCCTGTGAGGTAGGAGGGAGGGCAAATGTACCAGTGGACAGTAAGATCCTTGTCTGTTTTATTCATTGCTGTATATCTTTAGAGCCTAGAATGGCACCTGGCTCATAGTAGATGCTAAAAAAATATTTGCTGAATAAATGGATCAGGGGCTAGAGGAGGTTTCTCTGAGAAATGAGGGAAGAGGAAGAGGGAGAAAGAAAGGCTGACTCAGGGCCCCGGCTCCATTTGTGAGGAGTGCTGAGCCCCCTTGCTCAGACCGGGGCCACGTGTAAAGGCCTCAGCTCTGCCTTGGGGAGCGGGGAGCTGGGGAGGAGGTCAGGAAAGCTTCCAAAGGGAGTTGTCATTTAAACTGGAGTTTGGAGAAGTATAGACGTTTGCAGGAGAAAAGGGATGGAAGACATAGGACAAGACCTAGGGCTGTGAAAGGAAGAATCCTGGGCAGTGTGGGTAGAGTGATTGGCAGTAGGGAGCTGTGGAGGGTTTTAAGAAGGGAAGTGAAATCATCATATTTGTATTTAGGAAGGCCTTCCAAGTGCGTTCTGCAGCTAAGTACAGACATCTTTCTAAAGGCAGACAGAGGGCATGGCGGCTCACACCTGTAATCCCAGTGCTTTGGGAGACTGGGGCAGGAGAATTGCTGGAGGCCAGGAGTTCAAGACCAGCCTGGGCAACACGGCAAGACCCCATCTCTACAAAAAAATTTAAAACTTATCCAGGCGTAGTGGTGCACGTTTGAAGCTACCGTGAGCTATGGTCGTGCCACTGCACTCCAGCCTGGCCAACAGAGCGAGACCCTGTCTCTGGAAAAAAAAAGAAAGAAAGAAAAATCCAATAAACAAACAAACAAACAATAAAAGTAGATGGATGAGGATGAGGGAATAGAGCAATAGAGCTAGAGTGTTTTTTCCAATTTTGTTTCTCTCTTTAGTGGCTCTGACTCTTGTTTCCCCACTCTTAGCTACTAAAAGAATTAGTGAAAGAATTGGGGTTTCTTTGGGGGGTGGGGAATCAGGGCCTATATCTTGTATCTTTAAATCTCTGTGGGCCTGCCCTGCAGCCAGGACACCCAAGCAGTTAGTCCTCTGAGGCTCCACGGGGCGCAATGATGAGATGGGTGGGGGGCACCAGGCATCACAGACAGAGAGGCAAATTTGGGCTCATTCTAAAAAGCACTTTCTAACTGCCAGCATTATTCAACAAACGTAGCCTGTAAGGGGGTGAGCTCCCCTTTATGAAGGATACGAGCAAGGACTGGGCACAGCCGGGAAAGCTCTGGAGGGCCAGGCGAGTGGGAGTGGAACTAGATGGCCTCTGCAATTCTAACTCTGACCTTGAGCGAGAGAGGGAGGGGTTGGAATCTCTCAGTCTGCCCTTCTGCATAAACCTCTTCCCAACAGAGCCCCTCACAGTCTGGATAGCCACTGCTGTCGCTGATGGGCCCACACCTCTCTGGGACAGCAGCCACCTGTGCACACCCGGGGGAAGGGAGCTTCCAGCACTCTTTCCCTATTGCTCTGAGACCCTCTCTGTGCCCTCACCCCCTCTCTTATTTCACAGCAGAGGTGGGCAGGCCATGGCTCTTATTCCATTTGACTGATGATATCTTGAGGCCGGAGAGGCACCAGGAGTGTCCCAGCCAACACTGGCACCCAGGCCTCCGAGCCCCAGCCTGGGTCCCTGCTGCACCCAGACCATGAGGATAGGTTGGCCGCATTCTTTGTTCTGAAGGCAGGCACTTCTGAAGGTTCCTGGGCCGCTGAGACCCTCCCCAAAATTGTGTTGTCTAGAACTTTGGGCAAGATGGTCCCTCCCACCCCTAAACCTTCCAGATGACGGAAATTCTAGCCCCTGTCCCACTTTCCCAATGGTTAGTGTGCATCCTTTCTGTTGTACTCTGTCTTCCTGGAGTTGGAGAGCAGCCAGCCCTTCAGCCAGCAAGGGGGGGGGGGCGGGGGCAGGTGAGAACCACTGAGCTCTGAGAGGAAGGGCCAGGAGCCACTGGCTCCGTTCCTGGCCCAGCTGGTGAGAAATTTTTTAAAGCTGGCGTTTAGCAGTTTCCACTTCAGGCTGGTGGGGGAGGAACAGTAATTACTATCATTATCATGTAAATGTGGTTAATAGTGGGCTAAGCGGTTTACATGTTTTATCTTAGTTAATCTCCCAACAACCTTTTTGAGGTAGGTATTCTACACAAGGCTCAGAGAGGTCAACCAACACGCCCAAGGCCAGACAGCAAATAAGTGGTGTAACTCCACTACAAACCCTGGCTTGTTCAGATGGAAACGCTTGTGCTCTTAACCACCGGTGTTCTGGGTGAGGCAAGAGAAACGAGAGAAGCAAAGTCACTGAGTAGTGTCAAGACTGGAAGCAGGTCTGACCCATGGTCCAGGGACCTTTTAATGTCTCTCGCCACCCCCTCCACCTGGCTGCTGGCTGTACCTGCAGCTGGGGATTGATGACACACTAGCCCCACGTGAAAGTGCTGGTGGGAGGATGAACGTTGACAACAGGGTGTGGGGGTGTGTGTCAGAGTGTCTCTGTGTAACCGGGAGGTCTGTCCCTGGGTAACTGTGGAACAGCCCTCGGGGGCTTCTCTCTTTCAGCTGTTCCAACATCGGGACTGCAAAGTTTGGGTCATTTTCTTCCCACAGGCATTAGAGCAGTATGGTGTGGGCTCTGAAACCAGTCTGCTTGGGCTGGAATCCCATTCGCTGTGGGGCATTGGGCAACTTGCTTCACCTCTCTGAGCCTTAAGCGTGTCATTTTTAAGACGAGGATAAAGTACATACCTCACAGGTGGTTGCGAGGATTAAGCCAATTAATAGAAGTAAAATATTTCAGTGTTTCCAGAACACATCGAGTGTTTACTAAGGATTAGGTAATGGGTTGTTCGGGAGCTGCCACGCCGTGGGGGCAATGCCCACTGGAGTATCTGAGTCCCCTGACTGTCCCCATCACAATTCGAAGAGCTAACCCCACTGTAACCGAGGCAGGCAGGAAAGAGGGGAGAAGCCGTGGGGGAGGCCCCTCCTCCTCACCGGCCGCTCCCCGCAGCCTGCCCGCCAGGGTTTTACAAGGTGTCCCCGCGGCGGCCCCTCTGCTCGCCCTGCCCCGAGCACAGCCGGGCCCTGGAAAACGCCTCCACGTTCTGCGTGTGCCAAGACAGCTACGCGCGCTCGCCCACCGACCCGCCCTCGGCTTCCTGCACCCGTGAGTCCCCCTCCTGGCTATGCTGCGGAGGGTGGGGGGTGCCACTAAAGGTGTGATGGGGGTGATCCAGGCAGCGATGAGCCCGGGCTCCCCACTGGGGGGCGTGGGGGCGGGCGCGGGAAGGGGAAGGCGGGGTGGAGGGAGGGGACCCTGGGGTGAGGATGGGGGCTGGGGCCTTGGATTAGAGGAACCAGAACGACTGGGCGAGTCCACACGGAGGCTGAGGTTAGGATTCTTGGCAGATCACCTAGCGGAGGGCCCACCCCCGCCCTCACCTCACCTTTCCCTCCAGCCGGGAGAGGGACTCTGTCCCGCGCACCGTCCCTTCTCGGTCTCATACTCCCATCCTCATCGCCTCACTGACTTCCTCCCACCTCATCACCCACTGACCACTCCCACGTCCTGCCCCCAGCGGGCCCCCTCAGCCCCGTCCCTCCTCACTCACTGGGGTGGATGAGCCCCCATCTCTGTTGATCCATCCTGGTCCCCTCCTCAACCCCCACGCCCCCGTCCCTCCCCCGTCACTGGGGACGGACGAGACCCTCTCCCCGCTCATCCATCCGGGTCCCCTCCCTGGCCCGAACACCGGGTCCAGGGCCAGCCCCGCTCCGCGGCCGCGCCCCGCCCCCGACCCGCCTCGCTGTCCCGCCCAGGGCCGCCGTCGGCGCCGCGGGACCTGCAGTACAGCCTGAGCCGCTCCCCGCTGGCGCTGCGGCTGCGCTGGCTGCCGCCCGCCGACTCCGGCGGCCGCTCCGACGTCACGTACTCGCTGCTTTGCCTGCGCTGCGGCCGCGAGGGCCCGGCGGGCGCGTGCGAGCCGTGCGGGCCGCGCGTGGCCTTCGTGCCGCGCCAGGCCGGGCTGCGGGAGCGCGCCGCCACGCTGCTCCACCTGCGCCCCGGCGCGCGCTACACGGTGCGCGTGGCCGCGCTCAACGGCGTCTCGGGGCCGGCGGCCGCCGCGGGAGCCACCTACGCGCAGGTCACCGTCTCCACCGGGCCCGGGGGTAAGGCCGCCCCGCGCCGGCACCTCCCCGCCCGAGAGACCCCGGCTCCTTCCGCACCCCGCGTCCTCCCGAGGCCGCCCCCGTCGGTCCTACCGGGAGCCCTCCCACCACAGCCACCCCAAATGAGCCACCACCTGTGCAGGCACCCAGCATCTCTCCGACAGACTAAGGGACCGCAAAGCCACTGACCCGGTGACGCCCACCAAGGGTCGGCCACCTTCTCCAAGTCCCCCGGGAGGGACTGGGGTGCAGGGACTCCTCGCTGCTGGGCTGGAGGATGTGAGCGTCTCAGGGAGTCTGCCCGAGCCCGAGGGCGCTCCCCTTTGCCCGGGCCGCCTCGCAGACAGCCTTTGTCCCACGCCCAACTCTGCGGTTTGTCTCGCCTCTGGTTTCCCAGAGAAAAGATGTGGAAAGACCCTTGCTCTGTGGCCTTTCCCTTTTCACAAGGCTCAGTAGGAAGCAGAATCGCACTTTTGTCTCAGAAAGAGGGGTGCTGTCGTGTGTCCCTGCCTCCATCTCTCGGCCTCCGCAAGGGTTTCGCTGCGCCCCCCAGGGCGAGGGAGCGCGGAGAGTCGGGCTGTGGGAGCCTAGAACCCGCCGGCCCGGCCCGCACTTCTGAGTCTGGAAATGAGACGAATAACCCTAAGGAGAAGATAACCCTTTTCCTACCACGCCTTCCTCCTTCTGGACATTGACTTTTGATTTGCCGGGATGTGCTGGGGTGCACCTTCCGGTAATCCCTCAAACGTCCTTTGCCAGGAAGATGAGTGAGTGGTGCCATTTCTGAGACTTCATGTGTGAGGGATGGCATTGGTTTTTCCACCCCACTTCCCTGTCTTCTGTGATTCCGCCTCTGCCGTCTGGCAGTTGTGTTGCAGAGGAGAAGTCCGAGGCTAGGGTTGTTTTTATTCTTTTTTTTTTTTTATTTTTTATTTTTTCCTTTTACCCACAGTACTTTGGCATGGATGTTTTTATTCTTTTGAAAGTAACTGTTATAAGTATTTTTATTCTTTTGTAAGTATACACACAACATACGTTTGAATAATTTCTTAACCTGATGAAAATAAAAATGTAACCAATATGGATTTCTTTTGATTGAGTGTCGTTGGGACACAGTAAACTTCTTGAACTGCACAACTAGTTTTTTTTTCTGGAAAAGTTTTCTTCAGCTACTGCTTTGACCAGAACTTCTGATAGCCCCACTGTATCTCTTAAGAATATCTCTAAGCCTTAGGTTGTACATCTGTTTTCTGATTCTCAAATCTTGTCACTTCCTGTATCATTTTTAGCTCTTAATCCATTTCCTCTGCCTTTTAGGAGAGATTTTGATTGATCTTGTTTTCTGGAGTGCAAAGGTGTCATCATATCTCACTGCAGCCTCAAACTCCTGGGCTCAAGTGATCTTCTTGCCTCAGCCAGTTCTGTTCTATACTATCTCTAATGTGATTTAACATTCACTAATGCATTTACACTTTTAAAAATTCAGTATGGAAAATGAAAAAAACCCATAATCCTATTATGCAGACATAAACAACTCTTAATATCTTGGAGTATATACATCTAGAATTTTTTTCTGTCTTTTTCTCTGAATTTTTAAAAGTTTATTTAAGAGGTGGAATCTTGCTTTGTCACCCAGGCTGACACACAGTGGCATGATCATAGCTCACTGCAGCCTCAAACTCCTGAGCTTAAGTGATCCTCCCACTGCAGCCTCTTGAGTGCCTGGGACTGCAGTTGGGGACCACCACATCCAGCTCTTTATCTCTGTTCCCATCTTTATAGCTGACTACTAGAAAGTCCCTTTTGTATAATACAGTCATGCACCAAATAATGATGTTTTGTTCAATGGTGGACCAAACTTATGATGGTGGTCCCATAAGATTATAATGGGGCTCAAAAATTCTTATTGCCTAGTGACTGTGTAACAGTTACCTACTGTATTCAGTACAGTAACATGCTGTACACCTTTGTAGCCTAGGAGCAATAGGCCAGATCATATAGCCTAGGTGTGTAGTGGGCTATACCATCTAGGTTTTTGTAAGTACACTGTCATGATGTTCACACAATGATAGAATCGCCTAACGATGCATTTCTTAGAACATATGCCCCGTTAAATGACACATGACTTGATATGTAATGCTGATTTTTATTTGGCATTTCATATTAACAGCCCTAACTGTTGTTTTGATATAGATGGGTTTAAAAATCATGTTGAAGAAATATTCTTCTGTTTCTATTTTATTAATACAAATATTAAGCTTTCACTGACTGAGTGCTACTCTGTGTTTGGCACTGCACAATATGATTTTCTACATTAATTCATAAGATTGGAGTGATACTCATTTTTCAAAAGGTGAAACAAGTTGGAGAGGCCTGGAGAGACTGGTCTGTTCCTAGGTCTTAAACCTAGGTCTGGCCCAGCGCGGTGGCTCACGCCTGTAATCCTAGCACTCTGGGAGGCTGAGGCGTGCTGATTGCTCAAGGTCAGGAGTTGGAAACCAGCCTGAGCAAGAGCAAGACCCCATCCCTACTATAAATAGAAAGAAATGAATTGGCCAACTAATACACATAGAAAAAATTAGCTGGACATGGTGGCGCATGCCTGTAGTCCCAGCTACTCGGGAGGCTGAGGCAGAAGGATCGCTTGAACCCAGGAGTTTGAGGTTGCTGTGAGCTAGGCTGATGCCATGGCACTCACTCTAGCCTGGGCAACAAAGCGAGACTCTGTCTCAAACGAACAAACAAACAAACAAACAAACAAAATGTATTGTCCACCGTTGTAGAGGATAGAAGTCTGAGATTACAGTGTCAGCAGGGCCATGCTCTGACGGTTCTAGGGGAGAGTCTTTGCTATTCTGCCTTACAGTGTTTGCTGGGGCATTCCTTGGCTTGTATTAATAGATATATCTCTTCAGTCACATGCTCATCTTTTCCCTGTGTGTCTTCGTATCATCGTTGCTCTATGTGTGTGTATGTCTGTGTCCAAATTTCCCCTTTTAATAAAGACACCAGTCCTACTGGGTTGGGACCCACCTAATGACTTCATTTTAATTAGATTGCCTCATAAAGACCCTGTTTCCAAATAAGATCATGTTCTTAGGTATTAGGGGGTTAGGACTTCAACATATCTTTTTGGGGGACACAATTCAACCCATACAAGCCTTATCAGTATATGATTCGAAATACTTTCACCCACTCTCACTTTCTTGAGCGTGTCCTTTGAATCTCAAAAGCTTTTGATATTGATGAAGTCAACAATTCATTTATTTTTTCTTTGGTTACTTGTGCTTTTGGTGTCATCTCTAAGAAACTATTGCCTACTCCAGGATCATGAAGATTTATACCTATGTTTTCTTCTAATATTGTAGTTTTGACTCAAATTATTTTAGAGGATGTGTTTTCACTTCCAGCTGGCTTGATTTTATTTTATCTTTTTGTTTCTGATTTCGCTGCTCCATGGTTAGAGAAAGAGGTTTGTATCATTTTTACTCTTTTTTTTTTTTTTCATTAACAATTGAAATATTCTTTGTGGTATAAAGTGTGGTAAGCATTTAAAAACTATTTCATGGCTACTTTAAAACAATGTTCATTATTTTGTAGTATAGCTTTCTCTCTGTCTGTCTCTATATACACACACATACATACATACATATATATATATATACGTATATACACACACACAGAATCTTCTCAACTTATAGTGTGGCTACATCCTGATAAACCCATCATAAATTGAAAATATTGTAAGTCAAAAATTCACTGAATGCACCTAACCTACCAAACATCATGATTTAGCCTAGCCTACTTTAGACTGTAGGCTAATGTAAGTGCTCAGAACACTTATATTAGCCTACAGTTGAGCAAAATAATCTAACACAAACTCTATTTTATAATCAAGTGTTGAGTATCTCATGTAATTTACTAAATACTGTACTGAAAGTGAAAAAGAGTGGTTCTATTACTTTCATACCATTGTAAAGTAAAAAAATATTTTTTTTATTTTTTTTTTTGAGACAGAGTCTCACTTTGTTGTCCAGGCTAGAGTGAGTGCCGTGGTGTCAGCCTGGCTCACAGCAACCTCAAACTCCTGGGCTCAAGCGATCCTTCTGCCTCAGCCTCCCGAGTAGCTGGGACTACAGGCATGCGCCACCATGCCTGGCTAATTTTTTTTTCTATATATTTTTAGCTGGCCAATTAATTTCTTTCTATTTTTAGTAGAGACAGGATCTCACTCTTGCTCAGGCTGGTTTCCAACTCCTGACCTTGAGCGATCCGCCCACCTCGACCTCCCAGAGTGCTAGCCCAGAGTGCCGGCCTAGGTACTTTTTAAAAGCAAGAAACCTTTCCCAGAATCCCTTAGCTAATTTCTCCTTTTGGTGGCCAGAATTGGATAATAAGCCCAGCCCTAAACCAGTCTTTGTCAAAGGGAATGAGTGCACACAAATGTCTTAGAATAACCAGAATTTACCCATGTCATCTATGGGGAGACAGTAGACTCTGAATCAAGAATTGGGCTCAGCCAGCAGGGAAGGGGGAAAAGGCTGTTGAATAGGGTTCCAATACTGTCTGCTGCACCCTTGGCCCACTTGAGTACTGGCTGAATCTCATCACAAGTCCACAGCTGGAGAGCAGGCGCCTGGTCTCAGTTTCTAGCTCCATTCTCAGGACTTATCAGGCTTTCATCTAGTGTGTCTCTTTGGGGCTGAAATGGAACCATGTCCTACCTCTATATCCTGGCTGGCCAATGCTTTCAACAAATGTAGTTCAAAAAGTGACAATTCCTAGCTCTTCCTGTCTCTGCCTCCCATCTGTACGTAGCTGCAAGGGACTGTGTGGCTTCCTAGGATGCTTCCTCACTCCCCTCATCTTTGTGTCCAGGTCTTTTCTGAGAGCTGCCCTCCCGAAGTGAATTTAGGCTGAGAGGCACTCCTCCGGGGACAGGGAAGAGCACTTTTCCTCAAAAGCAGCTCTGCAGTAGAGTGATGGCTGTGCATTGTCCAGTTGACAAAGACCTTGCTGTTTTTAAAGGGTCAGACACTGGGAGGAGGAAGAAAGGATTTTTCAAGTTATTTTTAGAATGGGAGGCAATGCTACTCTGTGGGCAGCATAGCCTGGGGCTTCATTAGAATTCCGCTTTTTGATCTAGTTCCACTGGCTTTATCATCAGTAGAAACAAGCCACTCCACGCCCCAGCCCCCATTCTGGCCATCAGTTGTCAAGACCTGTCCATGGTGATGTTGTAGGTTTCCAACTGTTTCTGGGTGTTTATGTTTTCATTGGAATTTGGGAAAGACTTGGGGTGGGGACTGCTAGATGGATACCATTTAAGACTAGAAGCCACATCTGTACACTTGGCACAGACTGAGCTGTGTGTGTCATCTCCAATTCCTTGCCCCACTGCTATCAGGTGCCTACTTTCCTCAGTCCCCAGAAGTCACCAGGAACCTCCAGCTGGGCGTTTTGAATCATCATCTTACCTGTCTCTTCTCAGCACATGACACTGCTGGCCCCTGGGTCCTCTTGCTGGCAAGCCTAAGCCGAGCGCTTGCTCTGTGGCAGGTGTCGTGCTCAGCCCTCCACATACGTTACTTCATAAAGTTCGCACAGCAAGCCTGGGAGTGTCATCGTTGTTTCCATTTCACACAGGAGATAGCTGAGGCTCAGAGAACGAAATCGCTTGCTTACGGGTCAGTAACCACCTGATAACCGGAAGAGTCAGGAGGGAACCTTCTTAAATGTTCTCTTCCCTGGGCTTCTGTGACCTTACTCTTCCCTGGTTTTTCTCATACTTCTGTGGCTCCTCCTTTTCAAACTTCTCTTCTTTTGCCTGTCTCTCTCTCTCTCTTTTTTTTTTGAGACAGAGTCTCGCTTTGTTGCCCAGGCTAGAGTGAGTGCCATGGCGTCAGCCTAGCTCACAGCAACCTCAAACTCCTGGGCTCAAGCAATCCTGCTGCCCCAGCCTCCCGAGTAGCTGGGACTACAGGCATGCGCCACCATGCCTGGCTAATTTTTTCTTTTTCTTTTCTAATTTTTTCAATTAATTTCTTTCTATTTATAGTAGAGATGGGGTCTTGCTCTTGCTCAGGCTGGTTTTGAACTCCTAACCTCAAGCAATCCGCCCCCCTCAGCCTCCCAGAGTGCTAGGATTACAAGCGTGAGCCACCACGCCCGGACATGCCTGTCTCTTAAATGTTGGTGTTTCTCAGGCTTATTTCCTAAAAGCTTTTCGTCTTTCTCTATGCATTTTCTCTGGGCAGTTTCATCCAGTCACCCTTTTTCTTTTAAGAGACAGGGTCTTGCTCTGTCGTCCAGGCAGTGGGCAGTGGACAGTGGGCAGTGGCACGATCACAACTCACTGTGACCTCAAACTCTTGGGCTTAAGCAATCCTCCTGGCTCAGCCTCCTGAATAGCTAGAACCACAGGCATATGCCACCAAATCCAGCTAATTTTTCTTATTTTTACAGAGATAGGATCTTGTTATGTTGCCCAGGCTGGTGTCAACCTGGCCTCAAGCAGTCCTCCCACCTCAGCCCCCACAAAGTGCTGGGATTACAGGTGTCAGCCACCATGCCCGGCCTCTTTTTCTTTTATTTCTTTTTCTTGCCTAATTGTTCTGCCTAGAGCTTCCAGTATTATGATGAATAAAAGTGGTGAGAATGGGCATTCTTGCAGTTTTCCTCATGTTAGAAATCTTCCGGTCTTTCACCATTGAGTATGATGTTCACTGTGGGCTTTTCATATATGTCCTTTATTATGTTGGGGTAGTTTCTTTCTAATTCTAGTTTGTTGAGTGTATCATTTCTTATTTTTAAAATCTTTTTATGATGGCTCAATAAGAGCTAACCTATTAGCTATTTACCAGACCACTATTAATAGAACAGTTACGTAGTTGGTTTCCCTGCCTTGAAATGCTGTCTTATATTTCCAAACCACAGAAAGTGTAGAAAGAGCCTGGGGGATTAGAACCAACCACCTTGAGGGAAGCTGGGTGTGGGGGGTGGGGAGGCCGCAGAAGGCGGCAGTGAGACAGACGGCTGGGCGGGGAGGGGGCCTGCCTGGCTCTCACGGAGACGCTCTCCCCTGTGGCCACGCCCCTCAATTGATCCTTAATGCCATGCACACCCCTTTAGACCACGCCCCAGGACTCTAGCCCGCCCCACAGCCCCGCATGCCCCGCCCTCCAGCATCCCCCAACCTCCCTCCTGCCCTGCCCCAGAGTAGGTCCAGGTGGAGAATCCCACGTTACTCCCTTTCAGTGCCCTGGGAGGAAGATGAGATCCGCAGGGACCGAGTGGAGCCCCAGAGTGTGTCCCTGTCCTGGCGAGAGCCCATCCCTGCTGGAGCCCCTGGGGCCAATGCCACGGAGTATGAGATCCGATACTTCGAGAAGGTGAGTGCAGGTCTGCCAGACCTGGAGCCTGCCTCCTCTTTCCTGAGGGCTTCCTCCTTTTCACGCCCTTGTCCCAACAAAAGTCCTTCTTACTTGCCTTGCAAACGTAACCACCAGTCTCCTAGGTGGCCTCCCACGCTTGAGTCTCTCCCTTCTGTCTGTCCCCTGCACACCCTGGACTCCAGCTCTTCCTCTTGCCCCAGGTCTGCCTCCATCACCAGGCATCTCCATTCTCACCGCTTTGCCTGGTAGTTACCGTTAGTTGACCAAGCGCTTTCTCTGGGGCCTGGTCCGGATTCTGTGTGGCTGAATCTTATCCATACTGTTTGTAGAACTCTTCTTAAGAAAGAGGACACAGAAATATCATATTGTTTCTAATTTTACTAGAATGTGTGACCATGGGAGCACATTGCTAGTTCTGGTGGTGTGCTGGTGAATGTCTAGCAACCAGCTCTCCAGAACAATAAATGTATTAATTATTCTAATTTTACTGATATAGAAAATGGGTCACACATCATTTATAATAAAAATTAAAAAAATATACAATACTCTTCATTATAGATGCCATCTGGCCAATCGGTTCCCACAGGCTACTTCTGCTGATTTTTTGCTGACCTCCTGTATCCATTGTCAGTCTATGGTTGCAGTTCTGCCATGATTTGACAAATGGAGTTCATCCCAATTCACTGTCTCTTTTCACCACACAAGTTCATTATCTTCAAATCTGATATGTAATCTACTGTTAAACTGTTTCTCACATTGGTGCAAATTATATTCATTAAAATGACACCTCTTTCAGCTTCAACACTACACATGTCAGAACTTCACTCAGTGGCACAGGGACTTCTTTGCTGAATCAGATAACAGGTTTTGCATACTAGAAGTCTGTTGACAGTGTGAGTGCTGGAGGTGAACAGGGAGGAGGCGGAGTCTTGAGCTACTGCTGGGCGTGTGACCCGAGTAACCCAGAGGATGGGGTGCTGCTAGCTGAGATGGAGAACCACTGAGGGGGAGGGGCAGGCTTGGGGCAAGAAGGTGAACTTGGTTTTGCTCATGTAGCATTCAGCGGACTGTGGGGTGGTCTTGCAGGTCTGAAGCTCGAGGCAGTGGCCTGGGATAGAGAGAGCGAGGGGGCTTTAGCATAGGGATGGTAGCAGAAGCCAGGGGACTGGAGGAGATGACCTAGAAGGGGAATATGCTTGAGAAGAGCGGCCAGGACAGAGCCCTAAGGAACCCTGATGTTTAGGAGATAGCGGAGGATGCTGGGAAGGAGCTCATAGCGGAGGATGCTGGGAAGGAGCTCGGCATGCCGCAGGTGCTTAGAAAGGTCTCACTGACCTGGCATTCAGGGATTAGAGCATAAACAATAGTCCCAAGGCTGAGCTGGGTGGATGCTCCCAGGCCCTTAGGGAGGGAGTGTGAATTTGCTGAGCACAAAAACTCTCAAAAAGAGGAGCAAGGACAAAAGAGGCCATGTTTGGAAGGCTTCAGGGAGATGTCATGGAGCCCACTGATCAGAGGCACCGCTGGGTCAGTAGGCCTGGGCGGCTGTTGGGCAGCTCCCCTCCGGAGCCATGGCTTTTCTCACCTCGGCCTCTCTCTGCACCCCAGTCCCGCCTCCTCTGCAGAGGGGCTTGCCCGTGCATGTGCACATCGTGGCACCCAGGGTAGCAGCCTTGCTGCGGCCTCCCTGCCCCCAGCCTGCCCCACCTCGCAGGTCCTTTCAGTGCATTGTTTGGACGCCTGGAAGGGAGATTCTGATTGGCCCAGCTTGGGTCCAAGTCTGCCCTGATTCCTGAAAGCCATGGCCAGAGAACTGGGGCCACAGAATATCAGGGGCGAGGAGGGTGCCCTTCTGGGGGCTGTGGACGTGGTGGGGCTGCAATAAGGTATGGGCAGAGACCAAATGACAGGAGCAGCTTCTTCAGGACATGCAGTCAGATGTGTTGGGGGTAGAGTCAGGCAGCTTGGCATGGAGCAGAAAGCACAGGGTCCACGGGGACTCAGGGCATCACCCCAGCCCTTCGGTGTGGAGCTCAGGGGCAGGGGGAGACGGGCTGAGTCCACAGGGCTGCTGTGAGGCTGGGAGGAGGGGGGGCTGTGAAGGGCCAGCTCAGCAGCAGGGAATGGGTGTCACTTATCAGTGACAGCAGCTGCTGCTCCCACCCTCCAGCTGTGGGCCTTGGGCCAGTCTTTACCCCTCTGAGCTGGGTTTCCTTATCCAAACAAACTAGTTAATACCGCTGTCCTCTGTGCCTTGCAGGACAGTTGTGAAAATCAAACGCCACAGGGGAGGAAAAGCCTGTGAGCCCTCAGGGCCCATGGGTGTCAGGGCTCATCTTATTCTGTCCTTGGAGGGCATCAGGCTCCCAGGCACTGGCCCAGTCCACCCTGGACTGCCAGGCCCTGGTGGCTGTCAGCCCCTAGAAGGAGAGTCCAGTGTCTTCCCTAAAGTTTCTCTTACGAAAAGGTGGGGCTGTTCTCAGATACAGGTACCGCCCAGTGTGGGGTGGGAACTTGTGTTGGGAAGAGCGGTCAGGCATCCAATGGAGAAGATCTCTGGAATCCCCCAAGACGATCCCCCACCCCACCCATGTTCACCTAAGGGTGCTTCTCCTGCCTCCCTGTCCTTCTCTCCTACTGATCTCCCAGAAACTGGATCTGGCCCGGAGTCTGGCCCTCACTTCTTGTTCTCTTCTTAGGGTCAGAGTGAACAGACTTACTCCATGGTGAAGACAGGGGCGCCCATGGTTACTGTCACCAACCTGAAGCCGGCTACCCGCTACGTCTTTCAGATCCGGGCAGCTTCCCCGGGACCCTCCTGGGAGGCCCAGAGCTTCAACCCCAGCATTGAAGTGCAGACCCTGGGGGAGGGTAAGTCGTGCGTGGGTCCTGGGCAGAGGGAACCTGGCACGGGAGTGAGGCAGGGAGACAAGCAGAGGGGGAGAATTGTCTGTGCAATTAAGGGAGGCTGCAGAACAGTTTAATTATAGCCCAATTAATTAATGAATCTGGAATCCACATGCCTGTTCCCTGACATGAATTAGATTGAGTACCCACCCTGGAGGAGCTCACGGGAGAGGAGTTCAGCTGGAGAGAGACCCAGTTGGGATAGAAACCCAAACATGGGAGGACCTTTTTCGTTTCCCCTCTGGGCCTTAGAGTGTCATGCAGACTGCACTGAAGGGTGAGGGACATGAAGGGGCTACACTGCTGCAATAAACAAAACAACATGAGCACTGTACACTTTGGGTGAATCGCATGGTATGTGAATTATATCTCAATAAAGCTGTTACCAAAACAAAGCAAAACAAAAGCTGAACATTGAGGCCAGGTGAAGTGGCTCACGCCTGTAATCCTAGCACTCTGGGAGGTCAAGGCAGGAGGATCACTTGAGGTCAGGAGTTTGAGACCAGCCTGAGCAAGAGCAAGACCCTGTCTCTAGTAAAAATAGAAAAATTAGCCGAGCGTGGTAGTGTGCACCTGTGGTCCCAGCTACTCAGGAGGCTGAGCCAGGAGGATTTGCTTGAGCCCAGGAGTTTGAGGTTGCTGTGGGCTATGAAACCACTGAACTCTAACCAGGGCAACAGAGCGAGATCTTGTCTCAAAAAAACAAAATAAAACAAAACAACACCAAAAAAAAAGCACTGAATATTAAATATCCTGATCTTAAAATATCTCCAGCTCCTCAGTGGAATTGTGCTTCCCTCCCTGGGATCCCCCCTGCCCGGCCCCTGGCACAAGTCCCCTTTCTTCACATGCAGAGCAGTTCAGCTCTCCTGTTGTCCTGCCTGCTGCCAGGCCAGCTCTCAGGATCTCACCTCTCTCTACCCTGAGCAGCTCACGAAAGGATTTTCCTGAACAAAGGCAGTTCCCCCTAAGAGGCATTCTGGCACCAGCTGTCAAGATAACAATTCTTTCCAGCCTGCTGCGGGACTCTAATCCAAGCTAGGAAGGGCTCTGAGCCCAAAGGAAGCTGGGAAAGTGTTAAGAGTGTTTGATTCCGGGAAGGAGGACCAGACCTCTTCCTTGAATGCGTGTCTGTGTCAGACTTCGGCCAGATGCTGGGAAGAGGAGATTAGAGCTATGTCTTCGAGGCTGGGGAACATGTGGCTCCGAGGAGATGGGCAGGGAGGGCATTTTGGGTAGAGGGGGCCATCAGAACAAAGGCTCACGGGGTAGGCTGGGGTGAGTGTGGCAGGGGCAGGGGCAGGGGCAGGGGGCCGGGGACTGACAGCTGAGGAGGGCTGACACTTTCCTTCATTTGGTGCCTCTCAGTGAGCAGAGACTGCTCAGGTCCCCAGCCCCTGGCGGTGGCCCTGGCCACGGGGGAATGGTTTTCCCAATCTGCAAAGCACAGTTTCCAGTGAGCTGTGACCCCAAATCAGGATCTTGACGAAGAGTCGTGCTTCACCACTGTGTTAGTTATCTACTGCTGTGTGACGGATGACCCCAGATCCTAGCAGGCAAAGACAGCAAGCATTTCTTATCTCCTGGTTTCTGTGGGTCAGGAAGGTGGGTGCCGCTTAGCGAGGTGTCACTGGCTAAGCTCAGGGACTCTCCCAAGGCTGCAGCCAAAGTGTTCTCTGAGGCTGTGGTCATCTCAGGGCTTAACTGGGGGACAGACCCCTCCCTGTCCCGGTCTTGCCGGCTGTTGCTGGAGGCCTGCTGTTCTTTACCCCTGCTCAGCAGGGCAGCAAGTTTCTTTCCCCACCCGTGAGGGCATGAGAGCGCTAGAGGGCAAGCAAGACACGAGCCACAGTCTCTTATAACCCAATCTCAGAAATGACATCCTATCACTTTTGCCATGTTCTATGCATCAGAAGTGAGTTACTGGGTCCAGCCCCCACTCAAGGGGTATGGACACGGGGTGGGGTAGGGATCCACGAGGGCTGTTTCAGAGGCGCCCACCCACAGGTGTCTTCATCTCATTGTCCATTTCCGTGACCACACGGCCGCCCCATGTCAAGCAGTTCTTGGCAACTCCACTCCCCTTTTGCCCGGGCCAGACTCTGGACTCTGGAATGCCCTCTTTTGGCCCTCGCCTTTTTGGCCTTTAACTCTCTCTTCTGTCCCTCCTTGCTTGCTTTGTGACATCCTAAAGACAGCTATCTGGATCCTCAGTGCCCCTGGCCCTTAGCCCTTCCTGGCCCCTCGTCCATCTCTCCTGGCCTCTGTAGATTATCTCATGACAAATACTCACCAGCCTTGCCAGCCCTCGTTCCCTGGATGTCTTCCTGTACCCACCACCCTGGTAGTCCCCAGACGTGGGCCGTCCTCCTCCTCCTGTCTTGTGCTGAGGCTGCCTGCAGAAATGTACTTTTCCAATCTCAGTTCAGTGTTCAGGCCCACTCAGTACTTTCCCCAGTTTTTTTTTTTTTTTCTTTTTCTTAAGGGGTAGGTTCTCTTTATGTTGCCCAGGCTGGTCTCGAACTCCTGGGCTCAATCTTTCCTCCTGCCTCAGCCTCCTGAGTAGCTGGGACTATAAGTGTGCACCACCATTTCCAGCTTCCATTCTTTTTTTGTTTTTTTGTTTTCGAGGCAGTGTCTCGCTCTGTCACCAAGGTTGGAGTGCAGTGGTGTCATTGTAGCTCACTGTAACCTCAAACTCCTAGGCTCAAGCGAGATCTTCCTGCCTCAGCCCCATGAGTAGCTGGGACTACAGGTGTGTGCCACCATGCCCGGCTAATTTTTCTATTTTGTGTGTGTGTGTGTGTGTGTGTGTGTGGAGACAGGGATTTCATTCTTGCTCAGGCTGGTTTCAAATTCCTGACCTTGAGCAATCCACCTGCCTCAGCCTCCCAGGGTGCTAGGATTACAGGCGTGAGCCACCGCGCCCGGCCCCAGCTCCCATTCTGGATAGTCACTCCAACCCTTCACCTCTCTCCAGCACCTGCCCTCCATTCTCACCCCCTACTCAGCAGGTACCCTCCTTCCTTTTCTTCTTGGGCAGGAACTCTGTCCACTGCTCCTGGGCTCCCTGTCACCCACAGGATAAAGTTCCTACTCCTTAGCTTAGCATTCAAGGAGTTCCCTCCATCTTCCCACCCTCCAGCTTTGTGTCTTGCCACTCTGCCTTCCTGCAGTATGTTTTCCAGCCGCGTGGGACGACTTGCCATTTTCAGACCCAGCATGTGCATCTAAGCACCATCAAAAGCCCTTCCAGTCTCTCGGGGCCACTTCAGATGACACCTTTTCTGCGAAGCCTTCCTCATTGGCTTTCGGAAGAAATTGTTGTGCCTCTGCTCAGCTCTGTCCATTTCTCTGTTCTGTTTTCATTCTACAGTTACGATTTTTGTTTCTGTCTCCCTCACGGGTCCGTGCACTGCTCCAGGGCAAGGACTCTGCCTCATTCATCACTGTCTCCCCGGTACTAGTGCCAGCTTGGCACATATGTTGGGTAGCTGGATGGGTAGGGCTGAGCGCTGAGGGTCCTCTGGACCCTTCTCTTGGAGAAATAGTTCAAAGCAGAGGCTTTTGGAGTCAGGTTTAAATCTTAGGTTCACCATTTATTGGCTATGTGACCTTGGACGAATTACAACATAACTCTTCTCAAACCCAGTGTCCCCTGCTGTAAAATTGAAACAGCAATACCTTACTGGGTCACCGTGATGATGAAACAAGGTGATATAGTTGAGGCATATAGCCTGGTGTCTTGAATGGAGTAAGTGTCCATTTCACGTTAGTTCTTTTTGTTATTGGTGGCAAATGGTCTGCATTAGGGGCAGGGAGCTCAGAGCAGAGTCCGCTCCCCATGCAGAAGGACTTCAGGCCTCTCTCATTGCCATCTGAGATAGAAAGGGAGGCCTGGCACTGCCTATCTTGACTCCTCCCTCTCAGAGCTGTGTTGCAGTGGGGGTGCCCTGCCCTGGGTGCAGAGGAAGCTCTTGGGACTCCAGGGGCCACTGTGGTCAGTGGGGCTGCCTTGGTCCCTCTGCTGCTGGGAGGCAGTGCCAAGTGCAGAGGTGCCGTGGGAGTCCTGCCGTGGGAACAGGAGTCTGTCCTGCTGCTTGCCCAGAAGGCTGGTCCTCTGCCTGCCTCAACCTCGTGGTTTTCCTCCCAGCTGCCTCTGGATCCAAGGACCAGAGCCCTGCAGTTGTCGTCACCGTAGTGACCATCTCGGCCCTCCTCGTCCTGGGCTCCGTGATGAGCGTGCTGGCCATTTGGAGGAGGTAGGTGGCTGGTCCCAGCCTGGGTGAGCCTCGGTGGGTCACGTCCCGGTGCACATTCACATGTGCTCCCTGGCACCCCTGTCTGCACCTGGAAGCACGCTGCTGCACAGATACGGCCCCTCCCCCGCTCGCTGCTCTCGCGTGCAGCCAGCACTGCGCTCTCAGCCCTGCAGCGCTCAGCCGCTCTGGGATGAAGGGGATTTAGCTCCTTAACTCATTAAATGTCAGAAGGCATCGCTGAGGATGGAACCAAGCTCCGGCTGCTCTAGTGTGATTAGGATACTCCTGAGGCGCTCAGAGGCCCCCAGCCCCTGACCCCAGGGGATCCTTAGGCCCTTGATCACAGGCAAAGGGAAGACAGGCAGAAATTGTGTGTATACGTGTGCGTGGGAAGGGGAGGAAGCGGAGGGGAATTCATGAGCCAGAAACCCCTCCCCCCCCCAGCAGAAAGAAGCTTGCAGGAGGGTGGGCAGGGCAAGGAGAGTGGGAAGATGGGGAAGATGTAGAGCTTCAGTCTGGTCGAGTCTGGCTGGGAGAATATTCCAGTCCTTTTGCAAACAGCAGGGGCCTCCTGGCATTTATCCCCCTTGTCCCCAGGGCATCACTCTGCTGGTGCAGAGGCACCCAGGCGGGTACCAGCGGGGCTGAGGTCAGCACACTGGAGAGGTTGGAAAGTCTGCATGAGATGGGCTGGAGTGGGGGGCACAGAGGAGAGAGATGTGCAGGCTGGGGAACCCCCTCTGCAAGTCTCAGCATCCTGGAGCCGCCTGTGTAGTGGAGGGACAGTGAGCATTCATTTGGCACTGGCTGTTTGCTTGCCCACTGAGGCCCTGAAAGTGAGGAGGAGAGGACGCTGTCCTGCCAGTCTGGGACCAGCAGTGCCTGGGCCAGAAGAATCAGCTTGAAGGTCCATGTGCTTCACCTGTTGGAAGAGGATGGACAGGTGCTGAGAGGTCCCGTCCTGGCTTTGAGCTGAGGGAAGCCAGAGGAGGAAGGGGGAGAGAAGTGAACAAGGAAGGTGTCCTCTGGGCAGAGGCTCTGTGGACAGGAGCAGCAGCCTGGCCAGGCTTTGGAAACAGGTGCACTGGAGCAGGCAGGGTGAGCCAGTGGCAGGTTTCAAAACCTGTCCCCAGTCCAGCTGCACTGAAATGGGGAGAAGCAGCCCGGTCTGGTGCCGAGGGGTAGAGGGGCATACTCCTCCAGCCCGGCACACTGTGCCCTCTCTCCATGTCCCTGTGGTGCCTGCTTTGCACTGTCTCCTCACCTCCAATGTCCCTCCTTCTCTGGCTGGCCCTGGTTCATTTACTTCTTACTAGACTGCGTGGCCCAGTGGAAGCTTCTCTTTTCTTCCTTACCACGCACCCTCTGTCATTCCTCCCTACACTCATCCTTCCCCACTTCACCTCTGCCCATCTCTACTGGATGTTCCCCTCACTCACAGAAGTCCTGTCTCTACCCGGGGTGATTTTAGTAGCTGTTGGACAGCCTGTCCCACCCCATGCCATCTGGAAGGACCCTCTCTTCTGTTCTGCCTGGTCTCTGGGCCATCCTCCTGCCTCAGGTGCTTAATCCAGTTCTTCTTTGGGCCTACAACACCTGTCCTTGCAGCCTGCTCTCATTGCACCTGCTGTCGACTCTCCCCACCCTTCTGCACGCCTGCCTGCCTGCCTCTGCGCCGGTTCTCTCCTCCTTTGCTCTAGGGGAGATGCCTCCTCCTAGCAAGGCCAGGTTCAGTCCTTCTACCTAGAAGTGAACCCTACCCTTCTTGCCATCCCGAGAACTCATTATTATTAGGTTATTAAGTATGGAGTGTCCGATTTCTTTAAGTACTAAGTTTGATGCTTGATATCTCTGACATCTCATTTTGAGACTTCTTGTTTTTTTTTTTTTTTTATTGTGAAGATATATCCTCATTCTTTCAAATGCACATTTCGGCTTGAGATTATGTTTCAAATTTTTGTTTAGAGCAATTTTTCTGAAACCATGGATAAGTAAAAAATTCATATTATTTTTTAATATGAATTTTGTCATGGAACTAATGCAACACAGATAGCTCAAAATACCAACAGAGTGTTGGGGAAGGATGCGGCTAATGAATGCACAGTACATCCATGGTTTGCGAAGTTCCATTCTGGTGATTTTAATCTTGAAAATGAGCCATGTGGGTGACCTGCAACCAAGGTGGATAATGACAAGCTGAAAGCTGTAGTGGAAGCGAATCCATCTCAACCTGCGCATGAATTAGCAGCAAGGTTTGATGTTAGTGTTCCAACAATATCGGACTATTTGAAACATGAGCAAGGTAAAAAAGCTGGATAGATGGGTTCCATGTGACTTATATGAGCATAAGAAGAGAAATTGTCTCGAAGCTTGCCTTTCTTTTTTTGTCATGACATAAAGGTGAACCATTTCTACATGGTATTGTTATGTGTGATGAAAAACGGGTTCTTTTTGACAATCACAAGTATTTAGCACAATGGTTGGTTAAAGATGAAGTGACAAAACACAGTCCAAAATGGAATATTTGTCCAAGCTAATGTTGTCTGTTTGGTTCAGTGCTGGTATTATCCACGATGACTTCACAAAATCTGGTCAGTTGATTGCAGCAAATGTCTATTTCAGCCAACTGGATGAAATGATGAGGATGCTTGTGATTAAGCAGCTGAGATTGGTCAGTAGAGACAGGCCAATCCTCTTGCAAGATCACATGTCACACAAACAATGCTGCTCAAACTTTGATTAACGGCCGGGCGCGGTGGCTCACGCCTGTAATCCTAGCACTCTGGGAGGCCGAGGCAGGCGGATTGGTCGAGGTCAGGAGTTCAAAACCAGCCTGAGCAAGACCCGTCTCTACCAAATATATGAAAGAAATTAATTGACCAACTAAAAATATATATACAAAAAAAAAAAAACAATTAGCCGGGCATGGTGGCGCATGCCTGTAGTCCCAGCTACTTGGGAGGCTGAGGCAGTAGGATCGCTGAGCCCAGGAGATTGAGGTTGCTGTGAGCCAGGCTGACGCCACGGCACTCACTCTAGCCTGGGCAAGAAAGTGAGACTCTATCTCAAAAAAAAAACAAAAAACTTTGATTAACTGTACTGCTTCTTGTTTGCGATATATTAAACTACACTTTTGATTTGAAATTAGACATTTCATATTTAGTGACCTAATACTTATAATGTCCCCTTCTCCCTAACATAATTCTTTTTTGTTGTTTTTTTTTGAGACAGAGTCTCACTTTGTTGCCCAGGCTAGAGTGAGTGCCGTGGCGTCAGCCAGCTCACACAACCTCAAACTCCTGGGCTCAAGCAATCCTACTGCCTCAGCCTTCCCGAGTAGCTGGGACTACAGGCATGCACCACCATGCCGGGCTAAATTTTTCTATATATATTAGTTGGCCAATTAATTTCTTTCTATTTATAGTAGAAATGGGGAGTCTCACTCAGCCTGGTTTCGAACTCCTGACCTTGAGCAATCTGCCCACCTCGGCCTCTCAGAGTGCTAGGATTACAGGCGTGAGCCACCTCGCCGGCCTCCCTAACATAATTCTAACATATCTCAAGGCTTAGTAAGCAATCTGTAATGCTGCTGTGAGGTGGGGCTGTCTTTATCTTGATTTTTATTAAAGAGAAACTGAGCCACCTAGTCCCTTAGCTCCTGAGTGGAGGAGCTGGGAAGCAAGTCCCTGCAGTCAGATTTCAGAGCCCATGCTGTCAGCGCCCTCCCGTGGCCACTTCGCCCCATGCAACAGCCTTGCTACTCCTTCCCCTTGGTGTCGAAACAGGATCATTATCTCTCTTTTGAAGACTTTTGCAAAGTCTTCCCTTAATCCCTCCTCTTTGTGCCTTCACGTGATCTCTGTCCCCATCATCCCCCTCCACGTTCTCTGTCCTTGGTCCCGGTGACATTGCTGCCCCCAATTTCCCTTCTGTTTTCCTTCTTCTTTGGCAGTTCTTTTGCGGTCTCCTCCGTGGCTTCCTTCTCCTCTGGCCAACCTCGAAATGCTGGGGTTTCTCAGCCCTGTTCCTATTCCTCTTCTCAGGCTCCGTCCTGTCTCTGGGCAATGCTCATGGCTCCTGCATTTGCATCTTCAGAGCAGGCCGCTCTTCCAGGCTCCAGACACCCACACGTCTAACTCCCTGCTCAGCCCACAGGCCCCGGGAGCTCGAATGTCTAAAGGTGAACTTTTTGTCTCTCCGTCTTGGTAAATGGCACCACCATAAACTCTGCTGGGCAACTTTTTCCCTCTCCCTTTCTGCCATCCAGCAATCTCAAAGCCCTGTGGTCCCTGTCACCTTCATGTCACTTGAGTTCTCTTGTCTTTGTCCAACAGCTGAAGCCTCCACTCAGCAGCTGGGATGCTCTTTCTAAAATGCAAATTGAACTGTGGCAGTCCCCAGCGCAAACCCCACAGGGGCTCTCTTCTGCCCCCAGAATAAAAGCCAAAGTCTTCATCTGGGCTAGCCAGGCCCTGTCTCAGGGGGCCCCACATGCCAGCCTGTGGCTTTGTTTACTCTGATGCAGTCTTTGGCCCATGGCTGCCTCTGTCTCAGGAGGCCATGGGTGAAGGCCTCAGACCGGGTCAGGTCTGTCCGTCCCTACAGTGCACGGCCCTCCTCCTTTGCTGGGGACCTGTGAGTGGCTTTGTAGATAACTCTCCGTGGTTGCTTTCCAGACCAGAGCAGAATCTGTTTCTAAGTGCAGGGACTGCCTGTCTTATTCGCACTCTTTCACCAAACCAGAGGGGGCTTGCAGCCAGAGGTGTGGATTGGGTGCCTCTGGAGTTGCAAGAATTTTCATGGCGTGTGGAAGTGAAAATAGCTAGGAATGTTGGCGGTGGAGAAGGTTAGGTCTGGGGCTAGGCTTGTGCATGTGCTGTGGGGAGAAGCTTTCAAACCAGCTGGAAAAGAAGGCCCCTCCACTGGGGCACAGACTTTGTCTTTTCGAAGGGACAGAGAGGTGCTGCCTGCCCTCAGTGCTTGTGAGCTGGGAAGGGCTGGGGTGGCCTGGTTGAAAGAAGGACTCTGCACACCCCTCCCCCAGGCCCTGCAGTTATGGCAAAGGAGATGGGGACGCTGGCGATGAAGAGGAGCTGTACTTCCACTGTGAGTTGTCCAGGCCCGGCTGGGCAGGGGCGGGCTCCACCCTACCTTGCTCCTCAGCCCTCTTCCACGCTGCCACCGTCCCACCCCGGCGATGGAGGGCCCTCGCCTCAGACTCATCTCTTCTCTCCCAGTCAAAGTCCCGACGCGCCGCACGTTCCTGGACCCCCAGAGCTGTGGGGACCCGTTGCAGGCTGTGCTTCTGTTCGCCAAGGAGCTGGATGCGAAAAGTGTCACTCTGGAGAGGAGCCTCGGAGCAGGCAAGCCCCGCCCCTCCTGCCGTATAGACCCCGCCTCTGCCCCGTCCCCATCTCCACCCCGAAGCCCGCCTCCACCCAATCCCCGCCCACTCCTGGAAGCCCCGCCTCCACCCAATCCCCGCCCACTCCTGGAAGCCCCGCCTCCACCCAATCCCCGCCCACTCCCAGAAGCCCCGCCTCCACCCAATCCCCGCCCATTCCCGGAAGCCCCGCCTCCACGCGAAAGGCCGCGTCCCACCAGACTTCAGGGAAGAGGGAGGCGGGAGGGTCTGCAGCCCTGCCTTCGCACCCTCTGCTGGTCCTCAGCGTCGCTCTGAGACCTCTCCATTCAGGCGGGTCAGGGGTGGGCTCTGCAGACTGCCGCTGGTAACTTAGTGGGCGGGGGCCTTCGCAAGCTTGGGGGCCTCACACACCTGAGTTGTAGTCCTGGCTCTGCACCGCCCAGTGTGTAATCAGGGGCGTGCCCCACTTCTGCTCGGAGCCTCAGTTTCTTGTCTGTGAAATGGACATATCTGCCTCACAGGGACTGATGTAGGGACCTCACAGCCCAGCACAGGGCCGGCTGCTCATAGTAGCTGGGAGCTTTCCAAGGGTCAGTGCTGCTGCTGCTTCGTGCCTGCAAACCGTCAGTCCCCTGTGCTCAGGGAAGGCCGCCCATTTCAGCCGGAATCTGACACTGTCCCGACACTATTGCCAGACCTGCTGGACAGAAGCCAGAAAGGGACACTGTGGCAGAATAGATGTCATCGTCCTCCATCCTGGGCCACACCGGGTTTGGTGGCCTTTGGTGCACTGGCTTGTGCAGCATCCTCTCTCTGAGGCCTGGGAAGCTGTGAGGCGGGCCAGGAGGAGGCCCCGTTTTGTGGAGAAGGAAGCTGAGACTGAGAGAGAGAAAGAGATGTAGTCTGAGGTCTCACTACTGGTCCTCAGTTTACCAGAATTTTTTTTAAAAAACTACTTAGATTTATAAAAATGATGGCTTAATCTTGTTAAGTGTCATTTTTTTACATAAAAGAAACTTAAGATTGAAGTGTTTTAGAATTATACCAGCCAAAGAACTAAAGACAAACGCCTTTATTTTTAGAGATTCTAGAAGTTGATTTTTGTAATTAGACAATCTGAAATCCTCGATTTTTTCACATATAGTTTCCAACCTTTTCCTTTGGATCCTTTCCTTTCTCCAGGAAGAGAAAGCCACAGTGGCGTGACTAACCGGGTGGTGTCAGTAGCCTGGTCTCTCTCCCACCATCCTGGCTGTTGTCTGTTTCTTGCTTAAAACCAAAGCCGACAGTGACAACACCAACACTGACCGGTGCTTCCCCAGCCCCACCCTTCCCCGGTGACCTGCACGGTCTCAGGATCCGCCTGGAGCGCACCCCTGCCCACAGCAGTTCCTTCCAAAGCCCCTCTGCTCTCTTCTTGTCCCTTCTCAGAAACGTGTGTGGATCCAGTTCTTGAGGGTCCTCCCTCCCACGAAATCCTATCTCCTCCCCTTCCCAGAAGCACTCCTGCCCCGTCTTCTTCCTCAAGGTCTCCTCTTCCCATATAGTGTCCCCTCAGGGTGTATCCCAGTTCCTGTTCCCCCTAGGACACACCATGCCCCCTTCCGCATCTTCAATGTTTCCCTTGTGACCCACAAACTGCCCCCAGGTTCATAACATCTTAGGCCCCTCAGGTTGCACCCCCAGCCCGATAGATAAACACCATCTTGCTCTCCTTCCGGAGTCCCTTGTCCCCATACCTGTTTCCCACCTGTCCCCGAGCACCCTTTGCCTGCCCCAGGTGTTTACAACCTTTACCCAGCAAAGCGTACATCTCCTGGGCCCAGGGGCCCAGTTATCTGGCAGGCCCCCCCCCCCGACTGCCCTGGGTCCGGAATGTCTCAGGGAGCCAATTTACCAGAATTTGAACTCAGGAACTCCAAGTCCCAGGCCAGAAACAGCCTGTGATCCAGAGTCACTTTCTCCTCTGCTCAGCCTGCCCAGCTTGGCCAGGGTGGTGGCCTCCAGCAGTGTCTGAAGTGTTGTTTCCCACAGGGCGTTTTGGGGAGCTGTGCTGCGGCTGCCTGCAGCTCCCTGGCCGCCAGGAGCTCCCCGTGGCCGTGCACATGCTGAGGGACGGCTCCTCCGACTCGCAGAGGCTCAGCTTCCTGGCTGAGGCCCTCACGCTGGGCCAGTTTGACCATAGCCACATTGTGCGGCTGGAGGGTGTCGTCACCAGAGGTAGGGCCCGGTGCTCCAGCCCGCTTCCCTCAGCCATGGGAGGGGTCACCCCTGGGGACCTCAGCTTGCTTTCACTCTCCTGGGGTGGCCACTCTGACCCAGAATGACCTTCTGACTTGTCATGACACTCTTGGGAGTGGATCACCCTGACCTTGGATAATCTTTCTCAGTAGACTCATTGCACCTCATGACCTTGGCCTCTGTCCTTGTACAGACTCCTCCTCTTCTGTTCCTTGGCATGGGGGACCCTAGGCCGGGCAGGAAGATGCAGGATTAGGGAAGTTGGCCGTGGTTTTGGTTCTCCAGGCCCAGTCTGGGGCCCCTGTGGGGAGCACGTGTGCACACAGGGTGGAGCGGGCCACTTATCACGTGTGTGTTCCCCATCCCTGGGCACAGGAAGCACCTTGATGATCGTCACCGAGTACCTGAGCCTGGGGGCCCTGGATGGCTTCCTCAGGGTGAGTGGCCTGGGCCCAGGGAGCTACCAACCTTGTCATTCTCTAAAACAGAGCTCCCTCACTTTTCTCTTTGGTGGGGCTTGGAATTGGCATCGTCCCCACTGGGCAGGCGGACCTGGTGGTCACGGTAAACTGGAGCCCAGAGAGGGCTAGGTGACATCCCTGGTGTCATACAGCACCAGGGGATCCCAGTGCGCAGCCCTGGCCTCAGTTTCCTCCCTCCACAGCGGCACGAGGGGCAGCTGGTGGCTGGGCAGCTGGTGGGGTTGCTGCCCGGGCTGGCATCAGCCATGAAGTATCTGTCGGAGATGGGCTACGTCCACCGGGGCCTGGCGGCCCGCCGCGTGCTGGTCAGCAGCGGCCTCACCTGCAAGATCTCTGGCTTCGGGCGGGGTCCCCGGGACCGGGCAGAGGCTGTGTACACCACCATGGTGAGGGCCCCTCCCCAGCCAAGCCTGCTCTTCCTGTGTCCCACCCAGCCACCCTAGAGCCCCCATGTCCCCACTTCTGCTCTGGGTCAGGTCACTCCCCACCCTGCCCCTCCACCTGGTCTGTCCTGAATGAATGCCAGTGTGGACACCACCGCGTGGTCAGCTTGTGTGCCTTCCCCGAGTGTGAAGCTGGGAGTGGGGTCGCCTGGGAGCATGACAGGTGGGCCTGGATCTGGGTCTCAGTGGGGTGGGGAAACCTGCCCGGGACCCTCGTTCCTCCCTGCCCTGACCTGCCACCCACCCACAGAGTGGCCGGAGCCCAGCGCTGTGGGCTGCCCCTGAGACACTTCAGTTTGGTCACTTCAGCTCCGCCAGTGACGTGTGGAGCTTCGGCATCCTCATGTGGGAGGTGATGGCCTTTGGGGAGCGGCCCTACTGGGACATGTCTGGCCAAGACGTGAGTGACTCATGGCTCTACCCCCTTGCCTTCCAAGCCTCTGACCTCTGCCCTCTGCCCATTGACTCTCGACCTCGTAGCTCCTCCCCTCCTCTTTCCTGTCTACTTGCTTCCTGTCCTGCCTGGCCACTGCCTGGATCCTCCTTGGGATAGTGTGTGTCTCAGGGAACCTAAAGGCTCCCGTCCCCTGCTGCCCAGGTGATCAAGGCTGTGGAGGATGGCTTCCGGCTGCCACCCCCCAGGAACTGTCCCACCCCGCTGCACCGACTAATGCTTGACTGCTGGCGGAAGGACCCAGGTGAGCGGCCCAGGTTCTCCCAGATCCACAGCATCCTGAGCAAGATGGTGCAGGACCCAGAACCCCCGAAGTGTGCCACGACCACCTGTCCCAGGTACATTCCTGTCTAGCCCAGCCACACCAGGTCAGCCAGCCTCTCGCCCGTGTCTCCCCACTGTCCCAAGTATGGCCCCCCCCGCCTGTCCTCCCCATTGCCCCAGGTGGATCTAACACTCCCACCTGCCTCAGACACATCTCACCTCACTTCCATCTTAGTCACCTCAACTTGTCCTGGCCTTTGCGCCACATATTCTGGGCATGGTGACTACTGACTGGATGACTATATTTGGTTATAGTCCTAACAGATTTGTTTCCAATAAATCAAATAAGTGAAATTGATATTAGTTGCTCCAGATCTGGGTCGCCTCCCAAACTGTCCTAGCTATGCCCTATGCCCAGACTGTCCCAGATACTCCCGGTACCTTTAACTGGCTCCGTGCTCACCTGCCTGAGTATCTGAAACCCTGGCCCCTTCTGGGGATGCATGGTGCCCACTCGGGCCAGGCCCGGCCCGGGGCTTGGCTGCCCGCCCTCTGCTGCCCTTCCACAGCTGGCCTTTCCTCAGGAGAGCAGCCAGTCCCAACCGCGGATGCCAGCTGTTGGTTGACCACAGCCCCTCTGGTCCCCAGGCCTCCCACCCCCCTGGCGGACCGTGCCTTCTCCACCTTCCCCTCCTTTGGCTCTGTGGGCGCGTGGCTGGAGGCCCTGGACCTGTGCCGCTACAAGGACAGCTTCGCTGCAGCTGGCTACGGGAGCCTGGAGGCCGTGGCTGAGATGACCGCCCAGTGAGTCCAAGGAGCCAAGGTCAAGGCTGGGGCTTGGGGATGCCAGGGGCCTGCCCCTGCCCTCATGGGAAGCCCCAGCCTGTCCCGATTATGGGCCCTTCCCTGGCTAGAGAGGGGGCGGGAGAGCAGAGGATGGGGCTGAGCCACTCGGTGTGACCAGCCCTTGTTCCAGGGACCTGGTGAACCTGGGCATCTCTTCGGCCGAACATCGAGAGGCCCTTCTCAGCGGGATCAGCGCCCTGCAGGCCCGAGTACTCCAGCTGCAGGGCCAGGGTGTGCAGGTGTGAGCAGGCCCCCACTATTCTGGTGGGGGTACAGGCCCTCAGCATTGCCCAAGGACCCTGGCAAGCTGCGCTCCACCTGTGTGGGAGTGAGCGCCCTCTTCCTCCTCTTGGGCCTGGAGCTGGTTTGGGATGTGGCTTCCCCCCCTCACTGCCTGCTCCTCCTGTTCCCCCCCCCCCGCTCCCCCCACTCCCGTCTGAACACTTCTGCTGACTCAGTGTCCCCGGAAAAGAGGTTTCAATCCCTGAGGAGGACCCTTAAGATAACAACGGGAAGAAATTCAGGGTTTCAGAGACAGAGCTGGGGCAGGGCTGGAGTCAGGAGGCAGTAGATTTAAAATGCCCTGGCTCATGCCTTTCTGTCTTCCACACCCACTGGGGGCTGGGGCCTACCCCAGTGAGTGTCCCTTTTCCCACAGACCCATTGGCCAGTCAGATGGTATGGGTCCTTCGGGGGCTCCTGTTCGACCCAGTAGTGACCACAGCTGCCTGGCAGCCCAGGCCTGGGAGGCTAAGCTGGAGGGGCAGGTCCTTTGCTCCCTGTGCCTTGGCGGGGCCTGTTGGACTCTGGTCAAGGCCCAGGCAGGCACAGGTGGTACTAAGCTCCAGGGCTGGATGCCAAGGGCCCAAGACTCAGGAGCTGATTTCTGCTTGTCCTTGCCTTGGCTGACAGTTCAGGGTGAGGGCAAGATTCCTGGCCAGGACAAGGCCCTGGTGCTCCCTGGGCCCACAAGGTCCCCAATTGCATTCCTTTTATGAACTGAGTGGGTGGGATATTTCGGAAGAGCATGAAGGGACATCTCCCCAGGTCCCCAAGAGCTTTGCTCTCTAGCCTTGGGGGATGATGAAGAGGAGACAGAGCGGAGTCTTCTCTGACAGGCTGCTCTAGCCCCCAGGGCACAGATGGGGAGTCAGGGCCAGGGCTGTGGGCAGAACAGGACGAGGCTGACTCTGGAGAGCCCTTGGTCTTGTCCTCTGGCACCAGCACTCCTCCCCGTGCAGCCCAGGAATCCTCTAGGAGTGACTCCCTGGCAAGCTCCGCCCTTTGGGCACTACCCAGCCTCCCTGGAGGTCTCCTCCCTCTGGCTCCTGCCAAGTATGGCAGAAGTGGTCATGCTGAGCTGACTCCAGAATTCCTTACTGACAAGGGCACCTGGAAGCAGTGGTGATCAGGTAGCCAGGGCCTTTGCACAGCAGCAGGAAGGCAGCTGGGTCTGGATGAGGCCTCAGGGCCTGTATTTGTCCAGGCCCACCCTGCTCACGACATGTGCCTGCTCTGCTTGGTTGTGTGTTTGGGTCGGGTGGGAAGGAGACAGGGCTGGAGGAAAGAGGTGAATGAGACACACAGCCTGCCCTCAGAGGGCTCAGACTAGATGGGGAGATGAGCTCAGGTACCCAGGGGCAATTCAAGGGGACCTTCCCTCAGCACCCTACAGGAGCCCTGGGTGTCAGTGGGAGGGTGGGCTGCAGGGGCAGATGGTCAGTGTCTTGATGTGTGCATATCAAGACAGAAAGGCTTCTCAGCCATGGTGTAAGTTGAATAGGGACTTGTATGTGGCAGGGGCAGTGCTTTGCTTGGGACATGTGGAGTTTGCAGCAGCTGAGATGATGGTAGGCCTAGGACAAGAGGAGAGGGAAAGAGCCCAGAGGTTGGAAGCTACAGGGCATCTTGCAGAGCACCTGGTGGTGGGGGACGGTGACTCATGGCAGTGCCTTTGGCCTCACCTGCCAGCAGTAGCTCCTCTCCCTAGAATCTCTCCCAGACCCTGCTCCCCCTCTCTTGAGTACCTGTCCCAGCTCAGTGACTTTGGAGGTGCTGGGGGAGATTGAGATATTACTACCATCTTTGACAGGGTTTTGGAGGGTTCCCCTGCCAGGTGCCCTCCAGGCTCTGTCTTCCACACATCCAGGGACATGGGGACCAGTGTCTCTTCTTGAGTAGACAGAGCCTCATCCTCACCTCCAGCTACATCGGTTGTTCTCTTAAGGGCAAAGTCCCCTCCTCCTGCCCCAGCTGTTCTGCAGAGGGGTGCTGTGTTGGCAGGACTTCGGTGTCCAGGGTAGATCTCCCCTCCACTGAGGAATGAGGTCCACAACCCTGATGGGTCCCAGGCCTCAGCCCTGCACAGGCACCAGTGTGATGCAGGGCAATGGCTCTCTGGGGGCCCTTTACAGATCTATTTTTATATGGAACTTGGTCACTAGACAGACGGAGGTGGCCTGCAACCCCCCATCATCCTGGTCCATCCAGGGAGGGAGGGGCCAGTTGGGGGGTTTCCTTTGACTAATTCTGGAGATGTTTTTATATTTCATGGGTTCTATATGCAGCAGGACAAAGTAATAAACACTTGTCTGTGATATGGTGCCTCTTTGAGTGACAGTTGCTTAACCATTGTGTAGCTTGTGTGGGAGGGTTTCTGCCCCCCTTCATGGGGTGGGGTGTCCAGAGCATGTGTCTGAGATCTCTCTGTGTGGAGGTGAATCCCTGTTCCTGCCATGAAAGCTGTCCCAGGACACAGGACAGTGTGATCAGGAGTGCCATAGCGAAGGCACTGGGTGCCCTAGGAGGGTAGAGGAGTATGTCACCCAGTCTCAGGAGCAGTACACGAAGGCAGGCATCCTGGACGATGTGCCCTTCCCCAAGATAGACAATACCTAGGGTGTGGGGGGGGCCAGGAAATGACATGTTCAATTTTGGATATGCATTTGAGATGCTTGTGGGATGTGCAGGTGGAGATGTTTAAGAGGCAGGCGGATATTTGGGTCTGGACCTTGGCGCACAGATGTGGGCTAGGCAAGCAGCACAGGCTGCAGCTTGCAGGGAGGGGAGGGGGAGGAGGCGGCTTGTTTGGTGAGGAGATGCAGGCAGGGATGACAAAGGGCTAAGAAGACACCTAATCTTGTAAAGGGAGATGGCACCTTAGCCAAAGCAAATTGGGTTCCAGACTCCCATTAAGTGGGGAGCTCAGTGTAGCCCCCAATCTTGATTGAATCCTCTCTCAACATTGCCTCTCAGCCCTTCCACTTCTGAAGCCATATGAATTAGCGAATATAAAAACCTTGAGTGCATATGTCATGCTGAATTTTAGGTATGGGCCTACAACTATCTTAGTGTGTGAAATTAAAAAAGAAAACCGACTTCTCAGCGTGTGTACCCATGTGGACACTGAGACATATTTTGTTTTTCAGTGGTGGTGGGACATTGTGGAGGTAAGCCCTGTGTTGGTATGTGAACTCATCACTGGTGGAGATGGGGACACTGATTCCTTGGGGTAAAAGGCATATCTGATGCTTTTGAAAAAATGATGCTTAGGTGATGTCCTCTCTTGCTTGCGCTCTCTCTCTCTCACACACACGCGCACGCACGAACTAGCAATCTGTGCAATTTCCCAATTTTTAAATGTTTAGCAACCATTTGAAAAAAAAAAAAAAAAAAGAAACCCTAAACCAACCCAAACAGTGAGGGTGAAAGTATGCCTGTGGTCTGGCAGTAAGGTTTACATTTTCTTTGTCCCAATCCTGACAGTTCAGCCTGTGCTTAAAAATCCTGGAATGGGGAACTCTTTGCCTTCTAAGCCAGCCCCTTATACGGAATGAAGGCCTGCCCTGGCTCAGTCGCAGGCATTGATTAGGTGCCTGCTGCATACCACACATTTCCTACAACTGGGGTCAGGTAGGCAGTGGTACAGATGGACAGCCTGGCTCTGGGTAAGGCAAGTTGGATCTGAAGTATTTCCTTGATGTCAGGTTCTTAACACTGTGCTAGATGATGAAGGCAGAAGGCCCAGGTTTGGTGACTTGTAGACTGGGTTACTGACTTGCAATGAGTAACCTTCCTTCCAAATGCTGTCCTCCATAAACTGTCAGTCCTCTAATAACCAGGCTACGTGTGACCCCGGATTGCTTGTTGATCATTTTTGGCATAGAAAGAGTTCTAGGAAGGCAGCTCTGCCAGGGCCCCAGAAACTTTGGGAAGTGAGTAACATCATCACACTGCATTACCCTTGTCCCTGCTTTATTCCTGGCCTTCACTATACAGGGAGACTTCACTATACAGATGCCAGTTTTGTCATCCCTGATATGAATTTCTAACTCATGGAACAAAGGTGTTGGGGAAACCTGCTGGGGACTGAGGTTACCAATGCCCTGGATCTTGAGGTGATGCCCCTTTTTCAGGTATCAGAGAGATTCTGCCTGAAGTAAAGGTGTTCACATCTTCACAGGAAATTAGCTGTCTAAAGACCCCTGTGCCCGTGGCTTCAGCTTCACACTGTCTCCCAGAGTCCATGGAGCACAGCTTGGATAGGCATGGTGAATAATGATTATAAAAGAAAACATAAAACCACACTTTATTGAAATAGGTACCTTTCAGTAGCTCTGATTAGAACAAATCAGCTTAGAGATACCATTACTCAGAGAAATAATATGTACAAAAATCGCACAGAAAGAATTCAACTTGAACAGGACTGAATTACTAGAATGGTTTTGTTACAAAATAATACCAAATACAACAAAGAGCCATACATGAAAAAACCATGTGCCCTCAAGCCTGGGAATAAGGAATCTAGTTCCTAAATTCTTGGAACACAGCCTAATTCCCTGGGCAGAGAGACTGGCTGAAGCACGAGGATCTCACTGCTGATTCCTCCTAATGAGTTTAGGGCACAGGCTAAATACATGGAATGAGGCCCCCAGACAAATCATACAGCCCCCCCATCCTCATGAACCCCATAAGACAGAAGCGCTCTTTGCAGAGTCTACAGACATGGCAGGGACCATGGATAGCTCAGAGATGGTTACTCTGCAGCCAGTCACAGAAAACCCCTAGAATCTAAGCCCTACAATTCCCTTATCCAAATTCCCACTAACTAGGGAGGTAGAGGAGCAAGACATGGATGCTCTCTAAACCAATTTTTGGTCTTCAGTAAACAGGGATAAACACAAAGTACTGTGTCTGCCATGAGTCACCTTGGATGGAAATACTGGGCACAGCGAATGAAAGATCCCAAAACTCATTTAGCATGCCTGACAGGAGGAAGAGGGAATGATGTGGGAGGGGACACGTGTATCCTGCTCCACTCTGCTGATCTGCATAGTCCCCCAGGCCAATTCCTGGACCTACCCTCTCATGGCTCAGAGTCCTCACTTCTCTGAGCCTAAACACCCCAGCCACAAATATACATGGAGCAGAAATGACAGATGCAGAGGTTCTCTGAAGAGGGTGGCTAGGCAGTCTTCCTGAGAACACGGGGTTCTTTCACACCGCTTCTGTTACAGATAGGGCAGGCCAAAGAGGGTGAGTTACAGGAGGTAGAAGGCAGCAGCTCAGAGAGCAGGGAGAATTCAGCTGGAAGAAAGACTAGAAGTTTCCATTGCATGATGCAGCAGGCAGTGGCTGGGGTCACCTGGGTTGAGGGGCTGAACAGCAAAGCTTTATCTAACTGATGTGTGAACAGTGTGTCTCCCCCTTCCTGAATTCCCCAAGAGGAACACCACTCCCTGCTTTGGAACTTCACACGCAAACCAACAGTAATCCCGAAGGGAAGAGGTCTCTTAGGGTCCCAGAAGTGCCCATTCAAAGTCCATCCTATCAAATTTCGCTTCTCACTTGTGGGACCGTATGCTGCTACAGATTTGGGCAAGACGACTCTGAAAAGAAAAGGAGACAGGTCACTTAGAGAAGATGGCACTTGGCATGCTTGCCCAGTTAACCAACCACTCACAGTCTGCCTGAGCACAGGTCTGAGGGAATCAGCCCCTCCATCCTCTAATTGTATCACACACTAATTAATCTTTCTCGACCTGTTTCTCATCTGAACAAAGAAGTAAAATAATATCTCAAATGCAATAGCGAAGGTATCACACAAGATAACTTGGGAACAGCAATAATATAGGTCCAGCTAGAGGATGACTGTCACAGGATCTGGGTGGCTGGGTGTATGTGGAATCTTAGCACTGGGCCTATGTTCAGTAGGACATGTTTGGGAAACCAGCTCTGCCTTGTCCCCTTCCTTGGATGTACCACTTAGACCCCAGAGAAGACAAGGCCCAAGGCAGCCACGTTTGCCCTAAGTGCTCCCATCCATCCACCAAGACCAAGGCTGATTGGACCAAGGAGGTTCATCCTTGGCTGAGCTGATTAAATTCTTCCTCTTGAGAATTTAAACTAAGACAAGAAACTGAACAGTGCTGGGCACTGAAGCACTAAAGTTACCCAAAGCTACCTACAAACCAATGTTAAGAGAGAGCAGAACCAAGAGCCTTGTGGAGAGGGTTATCTGCTGAGGGGGAATGAAGAGGTGCAGGAGAAGGGAGTGTGTGGGTCCCAAAGACAGAGATACTACGGGAGCTGGTGCACCAGAGCCAAGGCCCATCGTGGCATCCTGTTGCTGATGGGCACCCCCAGCTCCAGAGGCCTGGACGTTCAGCTCCCTCCACAATTCTGCGAGATTGCTGATAACAAGACCCTCCGCTCATTCTTGAGCTATTATAGAAAGTTTCAGTTCCTGGCAGTCAATAGTGCCTAACATACCCTGGCACTAACTGCCTGAATGAGGCAGAATTGTGATTCTGTTGTGGAACTTCTGTGACAGGTACCCTGGGAATGACCAAAACTCAAAATCAATTGAGGAAGAGAATTGCTGCTATGTAAGTAGGATAATTGTCAAAATCCCTTGGGGAAAAGGAGACAACACAATTCTAAGTATAAACTATTAGCCCAAGCCAGGCGTGGTGGCATATGCCTGTAGTCCTAGCTGCTTGGCAGGCTCAGGTGGAAGGATCCCTTGAACCCAGGACTTCAAGGCCAGTTTGGGCAACATACTGTGATCCAATCTCAAAATAAATAAATAAAATAAAATAAACTATTAGCTCAGACCCCAAAGACAATTCTAAATAAAGACAAACCAAGAAAGCTATTGGAGGTATCTTATGTGTAGAAATGATTATATGAGACTTACGGAAAGCTTCTTAATGTTTCCCAAGGCCTCTGGATCCAGCTGGGCAATATTGAACCTCTGCAAGTCACTGGCCAATAATCGCATGCTCTGTATGAGGGAAAGTGGGTTAAACTGGCAGGTCTCTTAGGGCAGGAACCCCCATTCGGCAGCCCAGTATGCCCCAGGGGTTCCCTGATATCCTGCACTTGGTAGCAGGAAATGGCTGGGATGGAGACATGGCAAGGCAGACAGGGGGGATGTTAGCCCCAAGGACACAGTGACATAATCAGTGCTATCACTGGGCCAGTGGCTGGATCACCTGGGCACCAAGGTCTACACATTAGCTTAGGAATGCCCTGCAGACCATATCTGAGACAAACCCTCCTGTCCTCAATAGTGGCTGAGGTCAGCAATTTGCTCTACACAGCCCAGAGAACTGAGCTCAGCCTGCTTCAGAATCCCTCAAAGTCATACAAAGTTGAAGGCACAGTTCATGTGTTCCCCTTTCTAGACTCAGCATATAACCCCAATAGTGCGTTCCTCTGCACTCCCTTTAATATCTCTATCATTGTACTTATCACAGTGACTATGATTTCAAACCCATCTTGATTACTACTGGACTGCTCAAGGGCAGGAATCATGTCTTCTACATCTTGGGCCTACTACAATCAGGTAGGCAAACATTAGCTGATGAACAGATGGAACCCAGTCTGGGCCTCTAACCTGGAAGAGAAAACTGGGTCCTGAGTCCTGCAGAAGTGTGGAGATCAGGACCCATGCAACTGAAAGGACTTGGGGAGGGAAGTAGGTGCTGGCCCAGGGAAGAGAAATGCTTGACTAAGCAGCATGCTATGGCCTGGCTTCCCTCAGAAATACTTTACCCACCTCTCCACCGCCCACCGGCACAGTGAGGAAGATCTCTTTGCTGTCAGCAAGAGGGCTGCCATTCCCTGAGATATTGTAAATCCGCTCTCCTGCTGCTGGAGTACGCAGGCCAGGCGTCTTGAACACCCTATAGAGTGGGAAAATCTCTGTGAAGATGGCTTGGCAGACTGAATGACACAAGGCTCTATGAGCCCTTCCAGGCCCCATCTGGCCTCAAGCTGCAGTTTTCAAATCACATATTTCTAAGAAGGCAAGCTCTAAATTTAGAAAAAAAAAAAAAAAAAAATTAAAGCAGTAATGCCTAAACACAGCTGGAGAAAGAAGGTTGTAATTATCAAACATACATCTAGCAAAAGCCAACTCTGATCCATGTAAATTTAAGGTCCAAAACTCTGTATGGGTAGTCATCCAACCATCCACACATAAATCCAGAAATCAACTAGTTAACGTGTTTCCAGAAGTGGCCAACTGCTTCCATCAAGAGGAATTTTTCAGGAGCAAAGGGGGATAATTCAGAGATGACATTATTATACTGACTTTCTCAAGACAGTTAAATGCTGTTACCTAGTTTTCCCTAACTGTCTTTTTTTTTTTTTTTGAGACAGAGTCTCACTCTGGTGCCCGGGCTAGAGTGCCATGGCTCCAACTCCTGGGCTCAGGCGATCCTCCTGCCTCAGCCTCCTGAGTAACTGGGACTACAGGCATGCGCCACCATGCCCGGCTAATTTTTTCTATATATTTTTAGTTGGCCAATTAATTTCTTTCTATTTTTAGTAGAGATGGGGTCTCACTCTTGCTCAGGCTGGTTTTGAACTCTTGACCTTGAGCGATCCACTCACCTCACCCTCCCAGAGTGCTAGGATTGCAGGTGTGAGCCACTGGGCCGAGCCTTCCTTAAATGTCTTGTTACATGTTCATGTGAAAAACCAAACAGTAAAGTAGGAACTAAAAGTGGAAAATAAATTTTTCATACTCTCCCTATGCCAGAGATAACCACTTCTTGCTCCACTCCCAGGCATAACCACCCTGAATTTCTTATCTATCCTTCCAGAAACTTTCCATGTATACAAAAGTAAATAGGATCTTATAGCAGACAGTGTACAGCAACCCACTTGTGGAGGTTCTGTGGTCATGAAGCTCTTTCCCTATCAGCACATACAGATTCAGTCTCTTTTTCTTTTTGGAGACAGGGTCTCACTCTGTTGCCCAGGCTAGAATGCAGTGGCATCATTATAGCCCACTGCCACCTCAAACTCCTGGGCTCAAGAGATCTTCTGCTTCAGACTCCTGAGTAGCTGGGACTACAGGCTAATTTTTCTCTATTTTTTGTAGAGACAGGCGTCTCACTATGTTGCTCAAGCTGGTCTCGAACTCATGGTCTCAAGTGATCCTCCTGCCTTGGCCTCCCAAAGTGCTGGGATTACAGGTGTGAGCCACTACACCCAGCCAGATCCAGTTTCTTTTAATGGCTATGCAGTAGTTTCTAATTAGTCAACTAGCCCCTTTAGGAGGTATTAACTTATGCTGCAAGGACATCCTTGTTTATGTTGGCCTCCAAAAAGGCAGTATCAATTTTCACTTCTGGGAAGGGTAACAGGAGATTACCATTCTTCTTTTATTTTTTTATTTTTATTTTTTTTTTGAGACAGAGTCTCACTTTGTTGCCCAGGCTAGAGTGAGTGCCATGGCATCAGCCTAGCTCACAGCAACCTCAATCTCCTGAGCTCAAGTGATCCTACTGCCTCAGCCTCCCGAGTAGCTGGGACTACAGGAGCATGCCACCATGCCCGGCTAATTTTTTGCATATATATATATATATATATTTTAGTTGGTCAATTAATTTATTTTCTATTTTTAGTAGAGATGGGGGTCTCGCTCTCGCTCAGGGTACTCTTGCTCAGGGTGGTTTTGAACTCCTGACCTTGACCAATCCGCCTGCCTCGGCCTCCCAGAGTGCTAGGATTATGGGCGTGAGCCACCGCGCCAGCCACCTATTCCTCTTTTAAAAACTCCTGATTTGAATCAGAAAAGGCCAAAAAAGTCATATAGAGATCTGTTAGTCATCACAGGCAGAGTAGTCACCTCTCTGTCATCAGATAAAGAATCATTTTTGCCACTGAAAATGGGAGAACCTACACTCAGAGGAGAGGCAAACACTGGGAAACCCAGACAACTACTGTTTTCCAAGGCACCCCAGGCCAAGGACTCAGGAGTATAGATACTCCTCTTCTCTGGGTCTTGTTCAATGGTGGGCTCCCACTAAATCCAAGCACTCCTCCTGTACATACTCACCTCGAATCAAACCTGGGTGTCAGGCCTGGAGTGGGTTTTATCATGGACATCTCCAATCGGCCCACAGCTGGGGTAACAGTGTTACCACGGCTGGACCTACAGGTAAGAAATGGCATCAGGTATGCTCCTCTCATGTCTGAGGACAGCAGAAGCAGAGTGGAGGCAGCACACGTGGGGAGCACTGACTGGGTCAGCCACTACTCTAGGCACCTTGCACACAGCCCACGTGACCCTCCCAACAACCCTAGGAGATAAGCACTGTTACCATCCTTGTTTACAGATGCAGAAACTCAGGCATATTGAGTTTAAAAACTTGCCCAAGATCACACAGGCAATTAGGGTGGAGCCAGAACTTTGAACCCAAGCAGTCTACCTCCAGAACCCAACTTTTCAACCAAGCTCACAAACAAAAGGAAGAAGACAGCCTCTTAACAAGGCTCCCCTAGCTGGAATTCCTGTCCTTATGCTAGGCAGCTGGTTAATGTCTTACTACAGTGCTCAGGGAGAAATGTGTTCGCTCCTTCACAGACACGCATCCTGGTCACTACTTTCCTAAGCTGTTCCCCTCCTCCCCCCATGGTATATAGTAGGGTCCAGCATAATCAATTTAAGCCCATGGAGATTCTTTACTTAACAGGACAGACAGAACATTTCAGCAAACTAATTTTTAGGTGACAGCTACTTTGTGACTGACTGTGGGGTTGCTCTGCACAGGGACTGTCAGGCAACTAAACTTTTTTTTTTTAATATTCTTTTCTTTTTTCCTTTGTATTCTCTGTAAGAAACAGGCAACTAAACTTAGCATGCAGTTCTCACTATACCTTTCTAGGCTTCACTCTCTCTGTTTGTGTTTTAAAAAAAGTAGGAAGGGATAGAGAATATAAGCAGAATAACTGGAGAAGGTATTGGTTTAGACCATTTCTAGAGGCTCCTCCAGCTAGGACACTCAAAGATTCAGTGATTTTAAGCTCCAATTGAACACAAGTCACTCTTTCCAACACCTACTTTCTGCCACGACATATATGGCTCTCCATTAAAACAAAAAACACACATTTAACTTTAGAAAATCCATTACCTTTTCCTTTTGCCTTTTCCTTGTACGGACTGGGTTCTCTTCTTGGATGGAGGACACCTTTTAACCTGAAGTCACAATGAAATGCAGCTAAGGTTACAAAAAGCCCAGAAATGAGAAAAGGTAAGGAGCGGGGAATAAAGAGGGGAAGGGAACTAGTGCTGGAAGGGAAAGTTAATACTGAATACAATAAGGTCTGTATTACAGTTCAGTGACTTCAGAAATTCAGAACATAACTGATCAACTGCTGGCTGGGTCTTCGAAATAGAGGATTTTGGCCAAGATTAAAAGTAAATAAATCTCTTTTGAACTGATTTAAGTCTGACTTGTCCCCCACTACTTTACATAAAAGGCTGTTGTGAAGGTCACTCAGGGCATCCTGCAGTCCTCTCCTTCCTGGGTCCTGGGAGGCCCCCGACAAGAATCATTCCTTAACTTCTAGCAATTCTCTCCTCCCTATCCTCCATAATTTATCCATCTTTCCTGCTTCTTTGGCTGTCCGAGGCAGTCTGCCTGAGGAACTTCTCTCTCTACTTTCCCTCTAGTGTCGACCTCAGCCTCCCTCCCTTCCTGCTCACCCTGCACAACAGTCTCCACTCACACACCAGGACAAGCTCCTAAAGATCCAGAAGGCAGTGTCTCTCAATCTCCTACTTCTCCATGAGCTCCAGGCTAAAATTTGTCTAGCCTAGCTATCCTGGAAAAGTACTAAACAGTCAATGTGTCAAGCAGTGACACGTGCTCCTCCTTCCCCCAAACCCAGCACGACTCTATAGCTGGGTCCCAACTGGATGGCAGCTGCCTAAGCCAGAAACCATGTAGTCATCTCTGACGCCTCCTTTCCTCCCCCAGGCATTCCACTTCTTTTTTCTAAAATTTATCTCAAAACCACCCCTTCCTTTTACAGTGTCAGTGCCTCAGTTCAAGAATTAACAGTATCCTGATTGGTTTCCTCATCTCATTTTCCCCCTTTCCCATTATCTTAAATACTATTCTCAAATGCCAATCTTTTTTTTTTTTAAAGCCAGTCAAATTTAGCAGTGTGGGGTTGTATACCAACTTTAGTGACACTAATGTTAATAAGTTCTGATAAGTCATTACCATTGGACCAGCCTGAAATACCAATCTGATGTCACTTACCATTACCTACCTGACAGCTTGGCACACAGGCCATTCATTATCTGGCCCCTGCTCTTTCTGTCTTACCCTCAGAGATAATATCCCAGCCATACCAAACTGCTTCCTGCTCCTTAAATGAACACTTTCCTAGCTCCTCCTGCAATTCTTTTCCCTTTCTTCTCTAGCTCATGGACTTCACTCACCTTGAAAGGCCTGGATGTGTCTTAATGCGATAAGGAAGACTTGCTAGCTTCCTCTTCTATGTTCTACACGCTTTGCACACAAGTCAGTGATCACTTTTGTTATTGGCCACTTAAAGCGGGACTGTCTCTATTGAGCTGTGAGTTCTGGGTAGGTAACACTGTATTTCATGCAGTTTTGTATTTGCTTGTCTCCTGCTAGCCCCTAGCTCCCAACCTAAGGGATTACTTACCCTTGCAGTTTGAGGATTCTTATGTTTATTTTCTTCTTCTTCTTCTTCTTCCACTATCATTTCATTCACTTGTATTACTTTGCGTGCTATAAGAAACAGTTTTAACAGTGTGATATTTCTCATGGGAATAAACATTCATGCATTCACATATTTATTTCTTTTTTTAGACGGGGTCCCACTCTGTTGCCCTGGCTAGAGTGCAGTGGCCCAATCATAGCTCACTGTAACCTTGAACTCCTGGGCTCAAGTAATCCCATTGCCTCAGCCTCCCAAGTAGCAAGACTATAGGTATGCACCACCATACCTGGCTAATTTTTATTTTTTGTGGAGACAGTTTCACTATTGTTGCCCAGGCTGGTCTTAAACTCCTGGGCTCAAGTGATCCTCCCAAAATGCTGTGACTACAGGTGTGAGCTATTGTGCCCAGCCAGCCCATTACTTGTTATAATTAAATACTGTTACTTATAAATAATAAAAGTATTATTACAATGATCATCTTAGGAGGAAAAGGAGTATGAAGGATTTTTAAGAGCAATGATTCTAGAGAAAATAATACCAATTTTTAATATTTAGGGGGTTGTCATGTAGAAAATGGTTCTAGGAGGCCCCAAAAAGGAGAACTAGCATCAATATAGATACCACAAGAAAACTTTGGCTCAAAATGAGAAATTTCTAAGCAGCTTTCTTTTTTTTTTTTTTAGATAGTGTCTGGCTCTGTTGCCCGGGCTAGAGTGCCGTGGCATCAGCCTGGCTCACAGCAACCCCAAAATCCTGGGCTCAGGCGATCCTCCTGCCTCAGCCTCCTGAGTACCTGGAACTACAGGCATGCATCATCATGCCTAGCAAATTTTTTCTAGATAGTTTTAGCTGTCCAAGTAATTTCTTTATATTTTTAGTAGAGATGGGGTCTCGCTCTTGCTCTGGCTGGTCTCAAACTTCTGAGCTCAAATGATCTACCTACCTAAGATTACAGGCGTGAGCCACCATGCCCGGCCTCTAGGCAGCTTTCTAATCACAGCTCTTTAGTGATGAAAGGTAGAGAGTGTCTGACTGCTAAATACATACAACCAGGAGCTAGATGATCCTGACCGGGGATTCCATAGAGAAAATTCATGTATATTTGATTATGGGGGAAAGATGGGACTAAATAACTTTTAAGCATTTTTTTGTCAGGTGCAACTCTGACACATTAAATAAGAATACACGTATATTTATCTTTTTAAAAAGTAGCTTACATGTAGTCAAAGTCCAGTGGTCAAGAGGGCACAAAACCAGCCAGGTGTGGTGGCTCACGCCTGTAATCCTAGCACTTTGGGAAGCCAAGGTGGGAGGATCGCTCGAGGTCAGGAGTTCGAAACCAGCCTGAGCAAGAGTGAGACCCCATCTCTACTAAAAAAAATATATATATATAGAAAGAAATTAATTGGCCAACTAAAAATATATAGAAAAAATTAGCCGGGCATGCGCCATGCCTGTAGTCCCAGCTACTCGGGAGGCTGAGGCAGGAGGATCGCCTGAGCCCAGGATTTTGGGGTTGCTGTGAGCTAGGCTGACACCACAGCACTCTAGCCTGGACACCAGAGTAAGACTCTGTCTCAAAAAAAAAAAAAAAAAAGAGGGCACAAAACCAACTTTAACTGTTGTTTGACATTGGTCCTGGTGGGTTCTATTCCAAGGAATGAAATCAGAAGACCCCCACCTACCCCTCAAGTAAGCAAAACTGGTGGAACTCAGAAGAGAAACTGATATTACTTAACTGTAGAAATGACCAAAAGTAACCTAACAGATTGTAAATATGTGGCTGAGGAACTCTGGGAACATCCAAGTCTAATTACATCATAACCTCAGGGAATCAGGACTGGAATATGACAATAGGAAAGCAAAAATCTCATCAGGCTCTCTTCATTCTATGAGGCAATTCTGATACAAGGCAAACTGGAACAAGAAGTGGGATGTTTCTGGCCCTGCCTGGTGCAGATGGTGCCCTGGTGGGAAGCCCCAAAATCCTGGCTGTAGGTCAGGTGTATCTTCACAAGAGTTGTTTACACTGTGTTACTATAGCATAATGACAGTGACATTAAATCCATGTCACAATTCATCCTGACCTGATTCCATGCTCACTAATCACAACTTGGTTTCCCATATAACTTTTCCTATGTGACAGAATTTTTCAGAGTGCAGGACGTGTGATATGACTACACAGATAGATCACTGAGCAACCTGGAATTACATGCAGAGAAAGTTATTCCTTTTACAACTATCATTCAACCCAGCTGATTACATCAGAGAGAGCCTCAGTTGATTTTACCAATCTTTTAACACCTCTCTAAATCTTGCTAGCTCTCTATTTAACTCAGGGGAAAGTAATACCCGTTTGGTTTCTAGCACAGCTTTTTTTCTTTTTTCACTCTCACTTTAGCTCATATATGGTCTTATGAGTTTGACTAGTAATTAGTCCTACGTACAATAAACTGAATGCAGTGGCCCAAAGCAAATGTTTGGATTTATAAGACAGAGCAGCAAACATTAGAGGGAAGAGGCTCTCCCAACAAGGCCCTGCCTGAGCAGCCAACCAAACACCCTAGGTCTCAGCTCTCCATTCCACAAGGGGTTCTGAGAAGTACTCACTTTTGGCAGATTTCAGAGGTGTCTGAATAGCTTCTGCTGTTAGCTTGTTTATTTCGGTGATATCCAGGTCAGCCTGTGACAAACAAAGCCAGAAAGCACCAGGCTTATTTATTATACCGAAATAAGAGGAACAATATTTTAAGATGAAAAACAATTTAAAAAACTATTATTTAACACATAACATTGTTAAATGTTAATTATAATGCAATAGAGCAAACTCCCATAAACACACCACATAACCCAAGACTGCTTGTAGCTGTGTATTCATTCTCTGTTCCCTTTCCTTGTCTCTTCCCCCAAAGGTGACCAGTCTCCTAATCCTGTCATTCCCTAGAAGTAACCTCTATCATTTCATTTGCTTATTAAGAAAGTACATGTGTATGGGTGTATGTGTGCATGCTTAAACAACATTTTGTTTATTTTTTATTTTTAGTGTTTTCTTGAGACAGAGTCTCGCTTTGTTGTCCAGGCTAGAGTGAGTGCTGTGGCATTGGCCTAGCTCACAGCAATCTCAAACTCCTGGGCTCAAGCAATCCTACTGCCTCAGCCTCCCAAGTAGCTGGGACTACAGGCATGTGCCCACCATGCCCGGCTGATTTTTTCTATATATATTAGTTGGCCAATTAATTTCTTTCTATTTATAGTAGAGACGGGTCTCGCTCTTGCTTAGGCTGGTTATAAACTCCTGACCTCGAGCAATCCACCCACCTTGGCATCCCAGAGTGCTAGGATTACAGGTGTGAGCCACTGTGCCTGGCTTATTTTTTTTTATTTGAAATTATTATGGGTACATAATAGGTACATATATTTATGGAGCACATTCAAACTCTTTATTTTGCCTCTCCATCTTACTGCCTCCAATCCTGATCCAGGTGCTAGGAGGAAGGGAGTGAGAGGGTTGGGGAGTACCGAGAGTCCCAAGCAAGAGCACTGCTTCTACAGTATAGAAGATAAAATAGTCTCTTTGCCAGCTAGCAGACCAGGTCACACTGCAATGACCCAGGGGCTTCAAGGAATTTGAGCTTGAGGATTTCTACTTCCCCTGCAAAATTCAAGGCAAAAGACTGCAAAGAACTGCCTGAAACCAGAATTGCCTCCCTTTGTATACTATTAATATTTGAACTATTAATATTTGGGTTTCAAGTACTTAGCGATTGACCCGACTCTAATTTTTCAGTTGACACAAACAGATAATGTCCCCTTGTAGAATCTCTTCCACAGTAACAACCCATTGGCTGGATTTCATAACTGGACTAGACTTAAGAACTAACCAACAGCTCAAAAATAGGACAGGTCACTTACTGTTGCTGCCTCTTCCAGGGCCTGTTTGTTTCCTCCAAGGGCTTTAAAAAAGAATATTTTATTTAGTTACTATCAGATTTTAATGATAAATCATCTTGCCTAATACTACATCTTTCCAAAACCAGTCCAGCCCTTAGTCTTTAACATTCAATAACCTTCACCATCTAGTCAATCTTTCTCCAAATTATTTCCCAAATGTGCCACTGTCTCACGACTTTGTGCGGTGGTACTTAGTATTTTCTCTGCCTAAAATTCTCCTCTGTACTCAAATTTCTAATTCAGTCTTCAAAACTCGGCTCAAATGTCACCCCTAAATCTGCTTATTTTTCTATTTCAGCAGATCACTGCAAAGTGCTTAGTTTCTCACCCTCATCCTACCCACCGACTTAACTACTCAAAGCTGTTCAAGTGTACACCCCTGCCTCAGACTGAATTCCAAAGATGATATCCATTGCTTCTGGCAAAAATCTAGCAGACAATAGATGTACAGTAAATGTGTGGTGAATTAAAAGGTCTTTGAGAGATTAAATGTAGAATAAAAAGTTAGTTAGGGGTCCTCAAACTACAACCCGAGGGCCACATGCGGCCTATCGAGGACATTTTTGCCGGGTGTTTTTGCTGCGCTGCCTGTCCTGCTTAGCAGCTGACTCGTCCTGGGCCCACAGTGGGTATGTGTGGAATGTGCGCCGCACTCTCCAACGGCCCTCCAATGGTCTGGTGAACGGCCCCCAACACAACTTGGTCTTACACAAAAGTTCGACGAGACCTGAGACAATCATTATAAACTGGAAAACCACCACATTCTGTTAAGAAAACTCTCATAGCAATCAAACTTTAAAAGTTAAAAAGACACATCAGGCTCTGGGAACCAGAATGCCTGGGTTCAAACAGAGAATGCCACTAACTAGCTTGAGACCTTGAGCAAAGTTACCAATCTCTCTGTGCCTTAATCTTGACATTTAAAAAATAGGGATATTAATAATTAGCTTGTAATGAGGATAAACTTGGGTAATGTATGTAAAACATTTGGTACAATGCTCATCTGGCATAGGCATCACCATATAAATATGCTTACTGACTGCTATTCTATCTCCTTTGTAGTACTTATAGGAATTTTTATTTATTTATTTTTAAAATTTAATCTTTTACTTTTATATTTATTTTTCCTCTTTTTTTCAATGAAGTAGTGTTTTAAAGCAAAGATGGATTTTTTTTTTAAATAGCCCTTTCCACTAAGCTTTATGTTTTTTTTTTTGAGACAGAGTCGTTTGTTGCCCACTGCAGAGTGAGTGCCGTGGCGTCAGCCTACCTCACAGCAACCTCAAACTCTGGGCCAAGGGATCCTTCTGCCTCAGCCTCCCAAGTAGCTGGGACTACAGGCATGCGCCACCATGCCCGGCTAGTTTTTTCTATGTATATTAGTTGGCCAATTACTTTCTTTCTATTTATAGTAGAGAGGGGTCTCGCCTCTGCTCAGGCTGGTCTCGAACTCCTGACCTTGAGCAATCCGCCCGCCTCGGCCTCCCAGAGTGCTAGGATTACAGGCGTGAGCCACCTCGCCCGGCCAAGCTTTATGTTCTTAAGGGCAGGGACACTGTTTTATTCTCCAGGGCATTTTTTTTTTGAGTCTCATTCTGTTCCCTGGGCTAGAGTGCCGTGGTGTCAGCCTGGCTCACAGCAACCTCAAACTCCTGGACTCAAGTGATCCTCCTGCCTCAACCTCCCGAGTAGCTGGGACTACAGGCATGCGCCACCATGCCTGGCTAATTTTTTCTCTACATATTTTTAGTTTTCTGGCTATTTTTTTCTATTTTTAGCAGAGATGGGGCTCCTCTCGTGTGCTCAGGCGCGTTCTCAAACTCCTGAGCTCAAACAATCTACCCACCTAGGCCTCTTACAGGCGTGAGCCACTGTGCCCACCTCCCAGGGCATCTTCAGCACCTAGCATTGTGACTGAAACACGCTTAGTATTTGTAGAAATGAGCAAACAAATGGCTTAATAAATAAAAGAGCAACTCAAAATGTAAATGCCTCACATATGAGCAGAATATGGATTTCTATCCAGGAAGGAAACTACATACTAGGTGATTAATAATAAGGAAAACAGAAAAAATAAAGGTAATGCAGCCTCCTACATTTCCTTGGACATTTAACAAGGGGAAACAGGTTGGGATTTTTCCCTGGCCAAGAAAACTGATTTGCCCATTTTTAAGTTGGCAATTTCCATAAGCTTCAGAAAAAGCTGCTTGGGGTGATTTTTCCAACTGAGCACTGGTTAATAAACTAAGTCATTTATTTATTCCTTCTCAAGTGGTTGGGTAAAAAACACATTTAAAAAAGAAAATATTTTGTGACAATTATGAAAAAATTGTGTGACAATTATGCGAAATTCACATTTCGGTGTATCTATAAATAAAATTTTATTGGACTACAGCCCATCTATGCCCATTCATTCTAGCTGTTTTGGAATTATAACAGCAGAGTTGAGTTGTCAACAGAGAATCCTCTGACTCAAGTAGCCTAAAATATTTGCTAGCTGGCCTTTTAGAGAAAAGGTTTGCCTACCCCAGGGACTGGATGACGGTGAGTGCGACGGAGAAAAATGAAGCAGGGAAGTGCCACAGGGAGTGGGAGCAGTAGGGCTGCAATTTTCCATAAGTGGTCACTTTAGACCTCCATGAGAGGTTAACTTTTGAGCAAGTCCTTTCTGAAGGGTGTCACGATAACCACAGGGGCTCCAAGCCTCACCCCGGGGAAACTCGAGCAGCTCTTACCGAAGTAGTCGAGCCAGTTCATCTCGCGCAGCGCCTTGGGGAGCCGCAGGATCTCGATGTTGTAGAGGTTATCCACCTCCTTGAGGAGGTTCTGCCTGTCTGACTCAATTTGCTTGATTCGTATTTCCACTGCGAGAGGGCAGAGCCGACAGGGCTAGGGTCACTGGGCAGGTGACTCCGAGCTGCCCGCGTCCCGGCCCGCGGGCACCCCGCCATCGCCCCAGGGAGCCGCGAGGGCCCGGGCCCTGTCCCTTACCTTCTCGGTCAAAGTCCTTAAGAAAGGAGGCGAGCTTCCGGCTCCGTAAGGAGTTGGTCTTGGCCGCCCGACTGCTGTCCTTCCTAGGAGCCATGGCGCCTCGGCGGGGGCTGCCGGGAGCAGCGACCGAGGCACAGGGGTCAGCGGCAGAGACCGGGAGGGGAAGCAAGGAGCCGCTAGGGACGGATGGGGACCCGCCCCCCCAACGGGGTCTCGGTTTAAAGAAGTCTCTGGGAACGTACCTGTGGTCCCAAAACAAGAGCTGAGGAACACTTCGCTGCTCCAGCCACGGCTAACCGCCACCAATTCAAACTCCACTGCCACAGGCTGACGAATCAGAAGCCGCCGTCTTAGGACGGTCCCGCAACATCCAATAACAAGGGAGTTCCTGCCGGCCGGTGGCTTTCGCCCTTACAGCCCGCCTGCGTCAGCGCCGCTGCCGCGGGTCTTCCTGGGAGTTGTGGTCCGGGTCCCTCCCACCACGCTCCGCCCCGGAGGGCTGCGAACTATTACTCCCGGCAGGCCTTGTGGCGGCCCCGGGTACACAAGCACTGGGGGCTGGGGGGCAGCCTGGGCCAACTTAGCTGTGGGACCTGTGGGACGCTGCGTGTGATCCGGCGGTGGCTGGGCTGCCTCGCTTGACTACCGCACACATTCAGACCGACTGACTGACTGGGTTCCTCAGGGTTCCCCGCACCCCAGTCCCAGCATGGGCTGGCAAGTGGAGGGTTAGCGGGGACACAGCAGCCCAGGCAGAATCTGGAAGAGGCCGGGGTCCGCGGCAGCCTCCCCGAGCAAGGGGGATGGAATGACAGGTGAGTGGGGGCAGGGGTGCAAGCTTTGGGGTGGGCGCCCCAGCTTGCACCAGCCCCCGGCCAGCCTGGGCAGTGTGTGGGGGTAGACCTCCCTTCCCTCGCTCCCCTGCAAGCGGGCCACTCGTGCCCAGTTCGCGTCCCGGAGCCTCGGCCGGGGTGCAGCTCGGGGACCTGACGTCTGCGGGGCCTTGGTCGCGACGCTGGGTGCAGGTAGTGACTCCACGCTGACGGCTCGTAAGCGCCTCAGTGGATGAGTGCATGAGGAGCTGTGGCCTCCAGACCCCAGGGAGCCCAGGACAGGAGGCAGCTTTGGGTGTCGTGGTCGTGGGCCTAGGAAGGGACATGTAGACAGCAAGCCCAGCCGTAGCGCTGTTCTGTTGGAGGTGCATCTTGGCATCTCCCCACGGCCACATGATTGGATTGCTCAGGGCTTGTGCTGAAGGCCAGCAAGGTTAGGGGCCAGTCTCCAGACATAAAGCTGTAGTCCGAGTCACAAGGAGGTTAGGTGACTGGATGGCCAGACAGGTTAGCTTTTGACGGGTCTGTGGCCCGATAATTTGGCTTTGGTGCTTTTCACCCTGTGGATTCGTTCTGAAGCCATGTTTAAGAGGTTGTGTTTGTGTTTGAGTGTGCGTGTGTGGGCGGGAAGGATGATAAACAATCCTGCCTTTCCCCTCTGAGTTGAAAACCAATCGAGGGAATAAGTAAATGTGTCAGACAGGCTCCTCATGGGCACCAGCAGGCTTGGGGACAGAGCAGCCCAAGCATAGGGTCCCTGGCAAGACTAGCCCTTCCTGGAAGATCCCTTCTCTCCATTCCTTCTTAGCCTGTTGCTCCAGATGCAATAAGTACCGTATCTGAATGTCACTCTCCCGCCCAAGGTCAGCCCTGGGCAGTGAGTGGGCAATGACACCCCAGTCTGCTTGCTGGGTGCCTGAGGGTCTCCTTCTAGAGGGCCAAGATTGGGAGTGATAACAAGCCCATACTTCATGTGGGCTTCCTCCTCGGCAGATGTCTTGGTGCTGGGCAAGCAGGGTTTTCTCGCTTCTTTGTCTCAAGGCTTCACTCCACTCCCGGTGGGTCCGACCTCTCTGGGCACATGGGACGTCCACCAGCATCTTAGCCACAGCTACCACATGGCAGGAGCATGTGATTCACCAGTTTTTGCCAGTTGCTTATGCCACACACAAGTTAATCCAACAGTGTCATTAAGGCACAGCTGGAGGTGCAAGCTGAGAGGAAGCGGCTCCATGGCTAACGGGACAAGCTGCCGCCGCCACCCTATTCAAACCATCACAGGCTGACGAATGTTGAAGTCTCCGCGTTAGGAAAATCCCGGCACCCAATCACAAGGAAGCGCCACTGTCAAGCCGCTAATCGACATGCAGGACTACAGTGCCCAGAATCCATTGCGAGCGGACGACGTGTTTTAGCGACGCGTAGCCCCGCCGGGCTGAGGTGCGCTTTAGCGGCGCTCGCGGTTTACCAGGCGCAGAGAGACTGCAGGCGCGTGGGGCGGGCGGTGGCGTGTTCTCACAGTTTGGTTGCCTCGGTTTTAAGTTTTCCCGCTGGTTTCAGGAACGCGACTGGTAGCCTCTGGGAGGGAAGGCAGGATTCCGGCTCCGGAAGCCCGGGTGAGAGAGGGGACGACTCAGTCTGAAGCAGGAGACGGCCCTATCCCGGGAGGGCCTCCTTCGAGCTATAGCCGGGACACCCTTCCCGAGGTGGGACACAGGAGCCTGTGAGACAGCGCTTTTACCTGAAGGGACTTGGGGACCAAGAGCTTGACCTCCGACGAGGATGGAAGTTACACGCACCTTGGCCCAGTGCTTCTCCTACTGGTTTGGCACCTTAACGCAGTTTTTTTCTTTCTGTTTTTGGTTTTTGTTTTTTCCAACAGAATATGACTCAAGACCTGCCTTTGCTTGCGGTGCAGGAGGCCCTGAGGAAGTGCTTTCCCGTGGTGGAGGAGCAGCAGGGCCTGTGGCAGAGCACTCTGCGGGACTGCCAGCCCCTCCTGGTCTCCCTCAGCAACCTGGCAGAACAGCTGCAGGCCGCGCAGAACCTGCGGTTTGAGGATGTGCCGTCACTTCGGGCCTTCCCAGACTTACAGGAGCGGCTCAGGCGCAAGCAGCTGGAGGCTGGCGACACTGTCCTGGACAAGCTAGCGGAGAGGCTGTAAGAGACTCCATGGTGCTGTTTCTTGGAGGAAAGATTTTAAAACTGGCTGTTTTTCTCTTCCCTTGAAAGCATGTTATTTAGAGATGTCTCAGCCTTCCTTACTTTCCATCTGTTGCAGTGGGACCTCTGTCAAAAAGCCATTTTCTGGCATTTCCCTTGTCAGAGGTTAAACATGGCAGTGGTGGGCTTCATAGAAGTCACAAAAGTAGCACAGAAAAGGAGTGGCAAAAGCTTATTAGCCCTTCTAATAACCATAGTTTATTTTGGTAAAAGTCAATGAGTAACTGTGCTGTCAACTTAGTAGGTGCCAGAACTAAGAGTTTACATATGTTACCTCATAAAGTCTTTTCAAACACATCTGTACCTTAACCTCACTTAATTCCATTTTTCAGGTGAGGAAACTGAACAAGCAGATTGCTCATGGTCACACAGCTAGTACATAGTAGAGCTGGGATTCTGACTCAAGTGTGCCTGACACCAAAGCCAGAGGTCTTAACCATCACTTTGTCTTGCTATATATTGGTGTCTGTGTGCCCAAGAGTAGCATGTCTCCAAAGTCTGATTTATGCCTATTGTCAGGCCCTCTATCTTAGAGTTATAGATTATTGAGGACAGAGAAGAGAGAGGGCACATGTGGGTTTTCCTTGACCCAGAATGAAAGAAAATTTCAGTGTATAGGGTTTGTGTCATAGACTGGTAGTAAACTGTCAAAGATGAGGACATTTCCTTTTATTTATTTGTACAAAATACATTTATTAAGCATCTATGGGATGCCAAGCACAAGGTGCGGGGAATAGAACAGTGAACCAGACTTACTTCTTGTTCTTAGTTGAGGAGAAGAGATAGTTAAATTATGTTGTGGTATATTCTAAGATCATAATTAAGTGCAGCCTGTGAGGAGCGGGGAAGCTTGTGGGAGGAAATGATGTGAAAAACCTGAAGGATGAACGGGTGTAAGTTGGGTCAGAAGGTGGGTATGAATAGTGTTACATAGAGGATAGTATGGCAGAACAAGGGGGTGGTAAGCCAGCTCACTAGCGATGCATAAGCTCTGTAGAGGATCATATTATTGCTAGATCTGCCTCTCACTTCTGGATCAAGGAGACTTTGGTGAGGAATGACAAAATGTGCTATATCTCTACAGTGGAATATTAATTCAGCTATAAAAAGGAATGAAATGCAATCAGCCCTCTGATATTTTGTCTTTTTGTTTTTTTAATGCTGGTCACAGTCTACAAATAAGCACAAATTGTGTTTCAGAGGGTCAGATATTGTTTTGTGTACTTTTACTTCAATTGATTACATATTTGTGGGTGTTGGGTGGTTATTTTAAGTCTTTTTTTCAGTGTGAGTCATGGACAAACATTTTTGAAAGCCACAGTTCTAAGGAATGCCTTGCCCTTTGGGAAGTTGTAGCCTTTGTCTTGATGGCTGGGCTCCTTGGAGTCACCAATGAAATAAAAATGAATACTACAATATTTACCATAAGCTAGGCACTGCCCTAAGTACTTTGTGTGCATTATTTCATTTAATCTTTATAGTAACCCTTTTCATTCATTCATTCTTTGAACAAGTATATGTTGTTCTGTGTGACAGTCTGTGTTCTAAGTTCTTGGGATATACAGTGAGCAAAACAGACTGTTTTTATATCTGAGGGGGAATAAATAACTTTCCAAAGGTCCACAGTAGTCTGCATGCATCCAGAGACTAAACTTTACCATTCAGGAATTTACTAGGATGGGGCTAGAGAGCATGTGGATAGTACTGGTGTGCTGTTTCTGTTTCCTCTTGCTTATTCCCTTTTCACATACCTGGTGTGGGACTTTGAGTGAGCATTTGCTCTCCTTACACAGTTTTATGGCAGCCCCAGAAAGGTCCCTTGGTCTTTACTTTATTGGCTACTGAGCTTATCACATAGCTTTGAGAGCCATATAACTTCTTCAGCCTTTCCATCTTTAAACCAGTTCTTGATTTTTTTTTTTTTTTTTTGAGACAGAGTCTTGCTTTGTTACCCAGGCTAGAGTGAGTGCCATGGCATCAGCCTAGCTCACGGCAACCTCAAACTCCTGGGCTCAAGCGATCCTTCTGCCTCAGCCTCCCGAGTAGGTGGGACTACAGGCATACGCCACCATGCCCAGCTAATTTTTTTCTCTATATTTTTTTAGTTAGCCAATTAATTTCTTTCTGTTTATAGTAGAGACGGGGTTGCGCTCTCGCTCAGGCTGGTTTCAAACTCCTGACCTTGAGCAATCCGCCCGCCTCGGCCTCCCAGAGTGCTAGGATTACAGGCGTGAGTCACCATCACCAAGCCCGGCCCAGTTCTTGATTCTTGAGCCCTACCCCTACCCTACCTTCAAGGCACCGTCACTAAAGTCCTTAGACCAGTGGTCTTAACTGGGGGTGGTTTTTCTATCAGGGTACATTTGGCAATGTCTAGAGACAATTAGTGATTATTATGGCTTAGGGAGGGTGGAGGTATGGTTTATTCCTGTCATCTAGTGAGTAGAGGCCAGACATTCTCCTAAACATTGTATAATGCACAGAACAGCCTTCCACAACAAAGAATCATCTGGTCCAAAATATCAGTAGTAGTATTCCATGGTGTGTATATGAAAAAGGGAAAAAAATATATATATGTGTGTATATATATATATATGTGTATATATATATACATGTATGTATATATGTATATATATATATATCAGTAGTGCCAAAGTTGAGAAACCTTGCCTTATATCTTTCTCATGATATTGCCTAATGTCAGACTCTTTCCTCCAGGGTCACCCTCCTCAAGGTGAGTGACACGGTCAGCAGCCACGTGGAGCGAGTATTTGAGATCTATGAGCAGCATGCAGACACAGTTGGCATTGATGCTGTCCTGCAGCGTTCAGTTGTGAGCCCCTCTGTGGCTGACATGTTGGAATGGTTGCAAGATATCGAGAGACATTATCGAAATTCATATCCTTTGTGCACATTTCAGATAGTGTCCACAGCTGTTCCAAGAAGTCTTTCTAATTTCAGTTTTCACAAGATTGGAAAACTGTATAGTTTGGGTCAGTTCTCTTTGGTTTCTGAACTTGGATTCCTCCTGCATTCCTTTGTGCAACCATTCCTCACATAATTCACTGAGTAGCTACTACCTGCAGGGCACTGTTCTCTGCTGGGAGATAGGCATTTAGAAAGGAAAACAGAATGTCAAATGGTGCTAAGTGCTATGGAGAAAAATAAAGCAGAGAAAATGAGGAGTGAGGGTGGGGTTGTGATTTTAAATAGTGTGGTGAGGCCAGGCCTGATGAGAAAGTGATATTTGAGCAAAGATCTGAAGAGGGTAAGGGAGGGACCTATGTGGATATTTGGGGGAAGAGTGTTCCAGTGCAGAGTCCCCGAGGTAAGAACGTGCTTGGTGTATTCAGGAAATAGCAAGGAGGCCAGTGTGGCGAGAGCATAGTATGAGGGAGCCTAAGAGGAGATGTTAGCAAGGCTGGGCTAGACTTTGTAGGCCCTCAAGGTCTGTGAAAGAATTTTGGCTTTTACTGAGAGAGAGAGAAAGCTTAGAAGGTTTTAAGTAAGGAGTAAATGGGTAAAACCTGTATTTTTAGCAGTATCACACTGGCTGTGTTCTAGGGAAAGACTTGGGGTGTCGGGGACATGGCTGAAAGCAGAAAGACTACTTAGTTGAAGTTATGGTCTTTTCCTCTCTATTCTTGCCTGATATCCAAATCTACCCTCTGCATTAACTTTCTACCTTCATCATATAAGTAACTCCCAAGGCCCCACCTTTATTGTCTCTAGTCTTAAGTTTCAGTTTTCTACAGATGCCGCCAACTGTATTGTTCTTGGAACTGCAAACTCAATTTTAAAATTGAACTCTGTAATCTAGTCCTCAGATTCAACCCCTCTTTCCTTGAGCTACAGCTTCAACCCTATTTTTTCTTTTAAATTGCAGTAGTAGCAGTAGTCATGGTAGTAGCAGTAGGAGTGATAATAACAGCAGCATGGACAGAAGGAGCAAGGAGCTGCTAACTGTTAGCTGTAGCTAACAGTACTGAGGGGCCGGTCCAGTGGCTCTCGCCTGTAATCCTAGCATTCTGGGATGCTGAGGCAGGAGGATTGCTTGAGGCCAGGAGTTCGAGACCAGCCTAAGCAAGAGTGAGACCCCATCTCTACCAAAAAAAAAAAAAAAAAAAAGATAAATTAGCTGGGCATGGTGCATGTTTGTAGTCTGAGCTTAGGCAGAATTGATTGAGCCTAGGAGTTTGAGGTTGCAGTGAGCTATGATGATGCCACTGTACTCTGGCCAGGGTGACAGAGGGAGACTTGATCTCAAAAAAAAAAAAGCAAAAACATACTGAGCATTTGGTGTGTGTTAGAATGTTTACAGTCAAGTTTTTGGTTCCATTTCCCTGGCACTTTTTGTATTTTCCTTCTCTATCCACTCCGTAGTGTCTTTTTTTTTTTTTGAGACAGAGTCTTGCTTTGTTGCCCAGGCTAGAGTGAGTGCCGTGGCGTCACCTAGCTCACAGCAACCTCAAACTCCTGGGCTCAAGCAATCCTACTGCCTCAGCCTCCAAGTAGCTGGGACTTCTTCTAGGATTCTTAAGGTTTCTTGCCTTAGGTTATCTATTGTCTGTTATTCTATCTTAAGTGAATTTTTGTGAAGGTGAGAGATAGGGATCCTGTTTCAATCTCTGCATGTAGTAACCAATTTTCACACCATTTATTGAGAGGGATTCTTTTCATCTGTATATTTTGTCTGCTTTATCAAATATTAGGTTGCCGTATAAATGGTGTTTTGGTTCCCAGATCCTATCTAGATATCGATGCTTCTGTTCTGTGCAGTACCAGGCTGATTAATATTATTATATAAAGCTTGAAGTCAGGAAGACTGATGTCCAGTTTTGTTCTTCTTACTTAAGATTGCTTTGGCTATACGAGTTTTCTGGTTCCATACAAAGTGCAGAATTATTTTTTCCTAGATCTGTAAAGAACTGCGTGATATTTTGATGGATTGCATTAATTCTGTAAGATAACTTTAGGTATAATTGACATTTTAACGATATCATACCAATCCATACAAGGTAGATTTCCCATCTGTTCAAATCATCTGCAATTTCTTTTTTCAGTGTTTCATAGTCTCCCTGTATAAATCTTTCATATCTTTGTTAAATTCTCCTAGATATTAATTTCCTTGGGTATAGTAAAGGGATTGTGTTGGTTTTTTTTTTTTTTTTTGAGAAGAGACTCTTTTGCCAGCTAGAGTGAGTGCCGTGGCATCGCCTAGCTCAGCCCCCTCAATCTCCTGGCTCAAGTGAATCCTCCTGCCTCAGCTCCAGAGCTGGGAAAAGGCATGTAGCCCGGCTATTTTCGTATATATATATTTAGCTGGTCAATTAATTTCTTTCTATTTTTATAGAGACGGGGCCTCCAGCTGGTTTGAACTCCGACCTCGAGCAGTCGTGCCTCGGCCTTCCAGAGTGCTAGAATTACAGGCATGAGCCACCACGCCTGCTGGTATTTGTTTTTGATTTGAGTTCTGCTTGATGGTTCTTGGCATATATAGTGCTTCTGATTTGTGTATATTGATTTATAGCCTGAAACTTACCAAATTTATTATTAAATCTAGAATCTCTGGATGAATCCATGGGATTTCTAGTATAATATATCCCAGCAAAGAGCGAGAGTTTGAATCTCGTCTGCCCCCACTTGGATGCCCTTAATACCCCTCTCTTGTCTGATTGCTATAGCTAGGAACTTCGATAGCTATGTTGAATAGAAGAGGAGACAGTGGGCATCCTTGTCTAGTTCTAGATCGAAGAGGAATGATTTCAGTTTTCCCCATTTAGGATGATATGAGCAGCAGGTTTGTCATAAATGATTATAATTTGAAGGTATGAACCGTCTATGCTATTTGTTAAGAGTTTTTATCATAAAGGTGTGTTGAGACTTTATCAAATGCTTGTTTCTGCATCTATTGCCAGAATCATATGGTCTTTCTTCTTGATTTATTTATGAAGTGAATTGCATATTATAGACTTGCGTATGTTGAACCAGCTTGCATCCTGGAATAGCCCGCCTGGTCATGGTGAATTATTTTTTGATGTGCTGCTGAATTCTGTTTGCTAGAATTTATTTAGGATTTGCATCTGTATTCATGAGGGATATTGGTCTATAATTTCTTTTTGTTACGTCCTTTCCTGGCTTGGATCAAGGTGATATTGGCTTCGTAGAATGAGTTATGAAGGAACCATCTTCTCTAATGGTGTTGAATAGTTCTGTAGTATCAGGTATGAGTCATCTTGTATCTTAGTAGAACTCTGAAGTATTGCCATCGGGTCCGGGACTTTCCGTTTGGGGAGGTTTTTTAAATTACTGCTTCAATTTCTGAGCTTGAGATTGGTCTCGTTCAGGAGGATCTGTTAACCCTTTGGGTTAATTAGGGAGGTTGTATGTATCCCAGATATTGTCCATTTTGATCTCGCGTTCTGTAGTGTTGGGCATCATAGATTTATAGTAATCAAATATAAATTTGTATTTCTGTGGTGTCGTTTGATCTCCCCTTTTTCATTTCTTTTTTTTTTTTTTTAAGACAGTCAAGGCAGAATAGGAGGGGGGAAAGTAGTAGAACAAGGGAGTTTCAATCTGTAACTGACGTGGACAATCACGTGAGGATTAACTCACTACTCCGTTCGACCAGCCCTCCTTTTTCATTCTTATTGAGTTTGTTAGAAGTACCTTTTCCCTTTGAGTCCCTTGTCAATCTGCAAAGGCTATCAATCTTTTGTTATCTTTCAAATAAACCTGCCTTTTTAGCCTGCCTTTACTACTAATTCTTGTTGTGGTAATCCATGCCACCAAAATGGGAGGGTTTTGCTTTCACCTGAATCCATTTTAGCATTGCCATTCTGTGTCTTGGCTTATATGTTTCCCTACCAGCGAATGTTCTGCTATCTCTAACTGGGATGTATTCACCTTTGAACTTTCCCACTGATTTATCTTTCATATACTTTGATTCTTCCTTACCCACTATCGGTGTTTGTTCTCACCAGCGAAGATCCCAGATTTTAGGGACAGTTTCATCCTTTTTCCATAGGCATGAAGTCCATGTTATACGAGAGTTGCACAGGAAATATCTGTAGCCAGCGTGAATCCTGCTCACTTGGTAAATACACATAGCTGCGCATTTCACTTTATAGCTCCTAAGTAGTTCTCACAGAGTATTTTTCCTTCAACATATTTCAATTTTCTTTTGAGCAGCTCCTTAACTTCCAGGAGAAGGTTAACTGAAGAAGAAAGTACCTCCTCCTCAAATCCGTGGGGAAAGCTGGCAAAACATCCAAGCTTTGCCTGCCTGGACCGAATTTCAAAAGAATAAACCGCAAGACCTTGTTACCAAGGTACTGTTTTTGTTATTCTTCACTCACCTCCTTTTTCTTCCCTGTGGGCTCACACTCTTTTGTAAACACTAGAGAAGGTGCCATTGCTGCCCCTCTGTCTTTATAAATCTGATGTTTGTGTCTTGGAGAGGTGATAATGCCAACAGGTTCTTTCCCTAATTCTAGAATATCCTATTGAAAGTCCCTTCTTCTGGCTGAGAGAAGAGAAGATATGTGTTTATCGCGAGACCAGGGGCACCAACAGTGAAGACGACATTGCTCGCACTCTGGTATTTCTAAGAAAGTTCAGTGTTTCAACCTGAACAATCATTGGAAATACCAAGCCTAGAACCTACGGACCTGGGTCTTGGGGGGATGGTGCCAATGTCTCCCAATGTGTGAGCTTTTCTGTGCAGCCCATGGACTGAGAGTACATCTCGACCCACTTCTTGATCTTATCTGAGGCTCAAGGAGTGAAATGACGGCAAAGAGAAGCTGTTGATGAATAAGAAAGTGGTTTTGCTGATTTTAAATATATTAGCGTCGTATGATGAAATAAAAAAATATGGCCAGTGGTAAATAGCCCCTCATCAA